TCTGAATTCAGCATCTTCTCAAAAACTCGTCCTAACGTCATGACAAGCCGCAACTGTCAAGTAGGCCCGTCCCTCCATGTCCACGTGAGGTGTAGCCTCTGAACCTTCGAGGGTCACACAGGGCAAGATGAAGCCTTCGAAAAGCAGTACAGATTACAACCCCGTATGCTTGATTGTGTCTGGTCACTATCATCTCTTCCAGGGCAGCAGTGCTTGGCCATTGCACGTATGGGGATATAGAGGTATCTTAAGAAGCATACGAGGATTGCATAAGGGTTTTTGGGTTCTGAGGGGCTGTATGGGGACATTGCTCCAATTTTGTAACTGCCTACTTCTGGCATGCGCCTTGACTCTTTGCTGAGGCTGCCAGGCCTGAAGGTAGGGCAACCACATCTTCGGTCGAGTTTGTGAGAAGAGCCAATGGGAAAAGTGTGGGATCTGCTGAGATGTAAAAGGGTCGGTGCCATCGATCATATCCTCCTGATGCAAAAAGGCTTGACATCTCGAACTAGGAAATTTTGCATCTCCATCTGCAACTCTGCATTCATGTCTCTATGGTAGTCCTTCATCATCGTCTGGAAGCTCGAACGAGGGAGGCAAGTACAAATGGATCTTGCCACCATGGAGGTCAGATGATAAGCGAAAAAGGATGCAGATCGGGCCCAGCTCACTGGGCTGTCGCACCTAAGATGCCCCACACAGGTTTGATCCTGAATCCCAGCAGTGCTTCCTTCACTGCGGGCCAATGCTGTTACTAAAAGCACACAGAGACGTGCTTCCCATCCCATCTGAAGGAAGCAATGTGAGATCATCCAAGCTGCGCTCGGGAAAAGTTGCAGAGTTGTCAAGTTAGCAAGGGTCGTTGTTGTTGAGGTTGTGGGCACATCAGAAAAATTGGCGGTCGCTTCGAAGATCCTCCAGGGTACAACGATGATTCGCGCTGCAGGCATCAGGCTTCTTGAATTATGAACATGCTAGGAAACAAGCCCAACAATTTTTAGCATACTTACTGCAGCTTCATTCTCCCACTGTCAGATTTCAACCAGGTGACTTCCAAAGTCCACCCTCATAGCCAGCCATGCCCCAAGCAGGCGTGGTGTTCACCTTGGTGCTGAGCAAGTACCCACCTGTCGGAGCCCTGTGCCATGCCAACAGCTGCCACACCACGTCTTTAAGGGGTCGCATGGAAAGACCTGCTTGACGCTCCCTTGTGTGTGAGGCATATGTTCAATCCGAAGCCCCCTTTACTTGGGCTGCCATGCAAAATCAATATGCCGAGCTTCCGCTGCTTCAGCTTCCAGGAGAAGTTGGAAGGCATAACCTTATAGCAGCATCAGAAAGTTGGATACATGCCTCAAAGTATGAGAGGACTCTTGTTATGGGAATGCCCGCCAAGCCATCCAATCACAAGTTCTAGAGCAGAATGCGAGCCGGGTAGCGGTCCTTGCTGAGGGGCCTTGGCATTGAACGGAAACTGCTCAAGCAAGCAGCTTCTGCAGGGAAGAGCCAACGATAATGTTAAACTCTTAGTTGGAGATATGCCAGCAGCAAGCTCAGCACAAATCATTCTCACTACCTAAAGTGGGAAATCATTCACATCACACGGAGCTTTGCTTCTCAGTGGAAAGATTTTGTGCATTCTTGTGCTTCTGCTGCGCTGCCTCTACAGCCGTACACTACAGGTAATTTATGCAAATGTTAGTAACAGAGGTATACCGGCTCTGAAACTCTGGGGCTGCAGGTTCAACGGACTCTACTTGCAGGCAAGCCACCCAGGAACGATCAAAGTGAGACTACACATTGCCTGAGCCGGGGCAACTTGCGGCTGCAAATAATGAACGAGCTTATCTCCTAATTATAGTATCACAGGAACTTTGGTTTGGAGATCTCGTCACTTTGGGGGCCGGATCAATTGGCTGAAGCGATGCCCTGCCTTGTTTTTGATGTTGCAGTCCATGAGCTCGGAACCCATGTCCGCAGCTGTCAGAGGGCCATCTAGCCAAAGGAAGCATTCAGGCTGTGGCTGCCTCACCGAAAAGCCGTGGCAGCCATCTCCTGAGCTGCCCCGCAAGCTCAAGCGCAGGTAGATAGATAATGATACATAGCACGTGCCTGGACTTCTGTGCGCCAGCGTTTTCGCTTCAAGTGGCTTTAGCCGAGCATCTCTGACTGCACATCATTTCGCAGGGAATGTGGCCAGTGTCTGGGAAATAGAGGAAGTTCCCATGACCGCCGCCACTGGTTACGCATGTCTTGTTGTGCCTGGTGTACGTCGTCTCCTGGGAATGAAGGGGATGGCAGGATATGGCCACATGCTGCAGGATTGCCGCAGTGGTTGCTTGGGTCCTTGACATGATCAGCACGTGTACCAGCAGGCAAGCAGGACACGTTGCCAGCTGACACCTTGGCAAGATACACAGAGTGCAGCAAGGAAGCCCAAGCAACAGAGCAGAATCGGTGCATTGCTTTTGGCAGTCCCCATTTTTGGTCTTTATCATGCTGCCTGTCCTGGGCAAGCAGTCTTCTTGCGTCCATGGTACACTACTCCCGCCAAGGTCGAATAACATCCAGTCAGCACAGGTACCTCAGCAATCACCCGGGCGCCACCGACAAGCAGATTCGGATCAACATGGTCGCTGCCAGCTAAAGGTCATCAAGGTGCTGAAAGCTTGTGTAGCCATCAAACCGTAGGCCGCCCCTGCGCTGCAAATACCTTGCAGGCCAAGAAATACTGAACAAACTGCACCCAGAGAAAAGAATTGCGAGAGACTCGTTGGCTTCATGCCTCAATAAGGGCTAACAAAGCTGGCTGCTGACGAGAGGCCCATCGGCATGCGCACCACAAGCTGGCATGGCAGGGGACCAAAAACATGCGAAGCATACCAGTCCCCACCACAGCTTCTTGGAAGATTCAGCCTGCAGCTCATCAACGCACAAATTATTTGGAGAACAGCATCCCTTTATATAGGGGTTCTATAAGGGTCATATTGGGATAATCGAAAATAACATTGAAACAACTATGTAGGGGTCTGCATGGTCTGCCAAGTGACGATATGGCAACTGCCAAGTGATCCATTCGTGTGTGAGCAGGTCCCAAGACCAATAATTCAGCAGTGCTGAAATCGTCCATCGTGTCATTGACTATGTCAAACCTCATGGTTGCTGGCAGACAATGGTTCTACTATGATCTCTCTAATCTAACTAGATTTGCCGTACGACAGAAAAGCTTTGCTGAGGGCATCCATGAAACCCAGAGGCATTGTACGCAAACAACAAATGTCCAGATGCATTGTGCAAGTGAAATTGCCAGTGGTTACTGTCCTTGGACTCGTGACGCTCACCCCATGTTGAAGTGCATCCGTACCATGCAACCTATGTGCCTGGTTTGCGTCGCATTGAATGACCTATAGCTACCTCTACTCACTCCAAGGCTCTGGTGAATGTGAAGGGTTAACAACCTCACCAGGAAAGAGCAAAGAAAGGAAGACACTGGACTGATAGCATGTCTTCAACCAAAAGAGGAGTGATTTTGCATCCAGGCCGCAGAGAACTGAAAACTGTATGTTTCATTGGCCTGCAAGCCCTGTAGTGCCAAGTTGAGCACATCCACACCAGTCGTGTTATCACGGCCGGCGGTGCACATTGACGCGTTGCTGAGCATTTGCTGAGCATTGGGTAGGAAAGGGAAGGTAGTCCTCAGCTGGCTGCATCATGAGGGTCGGGATAGCAGGATTCAAGCACGTACAGTTGATGGCCAAGATGCGGGTCAGCTTTGTGGCCCGTCATTCCCCTTGAAGAGGACCATGCCTCTCCACATGATATATCCTGGGCTGCGAACCTCAGTGGAGCAACGCCCTTGCTCTCAGCTTGCTTTTGGATTCGAGAAAACGCCGTGGCGAGTTCAAGAGACCGTCGATTTGGCCGTGTGACCCCGGAGGCATGGAGATGTGCAGATGGCACCTGGGGCCCCGCGACATGGAATAGCACAATCCGCCAACAGGCGCAATCGTGAGAACCACTTCTGCAAGGCCATGCTGGCAAAGGCAAGACAATGCTGCTGCGCAGCGTCGCGCTGGAATCGCACGCATCGCCAGCCACCTTTGACACCGCTCTGACAAAGTCTGTGCTGATCAAGCAGCATGGTTCCTGAGAAGTCCATGATATTGCAGGCCTTGATGCCGGCAACCACGTGGCTTCTCGCCTGGGTTCTTGACTTTTTCACAGCCTGATGCTGCACTTTCGCTGCCTAGTTCGAAGCCAATTAAGGCCTGTGCAAGCGGCTCTTGAGACGCGGCAACCACTTCTGCGTCGAAAGCAGCTGGTTCCTGAAATTGTTCGTGGAGCCACTTCTTTCCATCTTCCACCTCACACAGCCCAGGCCTGGGATGTAGCCGTGACCTGCATCACAAAGCAACTACAAAGAATTCTCGTCTGCAAACGCCACCAGGACGATTCCCAGGATTTGTGAAATTTTCAGCTCAGCAGCAAGGATCCCATAGTAAAGCCAGAATGGCCAGCGCATGCGCTGAATTCTCCAACACCACACGACCTGCAACACTAAAGCTACTCTAATGCGGAGCTTCTTCATGCTCTAGCTAAAGCAGCATCTGCAGCAGGTGTGAGACACATCCCAACTTGCCTGCAAAATCGAAACGGCCAAGATCCAAATGCAACAACAACGACTATGCGACAAGGGGACAAAGGGCTTGAAGCTTCTCTTCTAAAGGTCTGCTGGGCTGAGGCAGGGTTCGTTCTGTCAATGCATTGTACGGTGGCTTGTTGGGTCACGGCTTCTCATGCTGCTAGATGTAACCACAGGCATCCACATGCTGAATGCTGTTAAACGGGCTTTGCTCTCCAAATCTGCCTATTCTAAGTTCTGCATTTTTTCACTTGAGCCCAGGCACAGCACCTGCCAAGTTGAGAGCAAACTGGCTGACCCTGTAAGATGAGCAGGTGCATCTACAGCACTTGGAAAGTTGGCATGCTTGGATCCTGGCTGCCAGCCCTCTCCTGATGTCAGAGAAAAACTGGCTGTCTGGCATCATCAAAAACGTTTGTCCCTCTACAGGCTGGATATCCACCTTTGCCAGGAGCATCTCGGCGTGAAAAGCGTGTCTCATCGATGCGAGCTGTATCTCCTTTTAGGCTTCATGAAAACAAAGGCAACGTCCCAATTTCATCTCCCCAGGTGAGTCCCGGACTTAGCCTGTTGGGATCTTTTGGGCAAGATCACAAGCATCAATTCAAGAACTTCGCTTGCAACCAGCAATCAGCCCTGCACAAGCCAGGTCCTCGCCAGGCCGCAGCCTCCAAAACAAAAAGGAAGACACTCTGAAGTCTTTGTAGATTCCTTCAAGATCATGTGCCTTGGCAGTGTGGAGGCAGCGAGGCCATCGACTAACCCTTGTACCTTCCAGCATCTCAAGTCGAGCACAGCTAATCTGGGGCTACCAGAGGTGTTTTTTGTTTGCAAAAGCTGATGAGCAAGCCTGCCGCGCAAGAGCTGCCGCAGCCGCAGAAGTTGCCATCTGCAGTGCAGACCTTGCCACATCGCAACAAGAAGCTTGGCTGTGTAGGGTTAGCCGTTAGCCGACGTCAGGCTCCGGAACGCTACGAGTAAGACATCCCATGGCATCCAATGAGTATAGTGGCTTGAAATCCTTGGCCCTGACACTCTGAAACAAAGCCAACGTGCGCATGACCGCCGCACGACATTCTTCCGAAAGATATCTGACACAGCAGAAATCACATGCAGCTCCTGCTCTTGAAGCTCCCAACCCCCGACGCATTCCCAGCAGTCCAGGGTATTATCCGATGGATTCTTACCCTCGCAGCTTTTACGGCAATTGCTCGGATACTCATCAGGAACAGAGTCGCGACGGGATGCTTCTGAGACAGCAGCAGGGTCATCGTAATGCCGCTCCATACCTGTAGCAGGTCACCTCTTGGCAGTTTAGCTCGCATGATGCAACAAAAGTTGGCCTCCTCCGCAGCATATCGATCCAGAGCGTGTCGCGCATCCCGTGCCTGGAGCAATCGAAAGCTCTCGCTGTGAAAGCTGCCTTGACCTTTCTTGGCCTGGTCAAGAAGCAGCCTTTCCTGCGTAGACACCAGGAGCTGCCCGGCCACCGCAGTGAACTGCCATGAAGTCTGCATCCGTCCAAAAATCTGCAGCGATGTCTAGCCAAGGCCTGCCTCATACGGTATCTGGAGTCTGGAGACGTTCCAAAACCTGGCTGGTGGGAGACTAGAAGCTGCCGGCGCTCACTGGACCATCTGACATCTTGCATCCTTCAAGATTAGATGCATCTGAGCACATGGCACCGCGACAGCCTGGTCCTCGGGATCCGTGAGGTTGCCTGAAAGTGAAATCCAGCAGATGTGTGCAGGCTACTATGCCTCAAGATGCTATTATTTGCGTCGCAGTTGCGGGGGTCAAAGCTGTCTCCAAACACTGCAGTGACATCAACCTGGGAAGGCTGATTCCATCATGCAAGAGTCTTAGCGTATGCCAGCCTGTGGCAATGTAAGCCCCGAGCTGCCTGCAAGACACTAACGGACACTGTTTGCAGCAGCATCATCACGGCGAATCCGAGCTTCCCAACTAAGTCCTTGTGATTGTGCGCGTGCTAAACGCTTGACACAACACTGCACAGCAAAGAGGGCTACACAATACTTCTTGCACGATCCAAGGCAGCAACGCCCCGGACGAAGGGGGCAGCAGCAGTCAACATCTCAAACACCTCGGCATAAGACCAATGCTCTGTCTCATGACTTCCCTTTTCCCCAGCACTAAGCCGCGGTCTGGTCTTACAACCTGCGCGACTTGGAGTTCATAACACAAAGCTTCATGACTCGCTGCTATGGCACCTCCTGCGCTGGAATCTGCTTGCAAGTCACCGTGCCGAAGAAATCAGTGCCTCCAGTTCAAAGCTTTCTAATCCGTCAACTATACAAGGTTGTGGTAGCGCAATTGCCGAGAAAGCCTCAAGAAATCAGGCACGAGCAAAGCATGCAGGAAGGGGCTAATCCGAGCCACAATCATTCAGCGTTCGCGGCTTTAGATTGCCGAGCTTCGCAGGCTGAGTGTCAAACTGCATTCCTTCTGTCGCACAATCGGGTCAGCTGTTGCAGCCACAGCCACTGCTGCCTGGCACAATGATTTGCAGGCGAGTTTCTGGCGTCTCAGAATTGCAACTGACACTTGCCTGGAGAAGCTGCCACCTTGTAAGCCAGAATTCATAATCCCTCCCCTGGGATCTGAGCCTGGTGACCTGAGCTTCTGGCACATCGTTCGTCACCTGCACGCTTGCGAGTAGAGCCTCGGTGACCAGCCGCTTGTTGCATCATACACGCTGTCGCGTTCTGCAATTCTATTGACTAGTTGTATAAGTTATAAGATGCCCTGGGCCACAGGCTCTGGAAGCCCACAAAAGCTTTGATTCTGTCATGCCTGCCTTTCGATGTGCTGCTTAGCGCCGTTCTGCTCTCATTGTTGGCCTGTTTTTTCTTCATTCCTGCCTCCTTACAACGTATCTTGGGGCTTGAGGCGAGTCTATGAACGAAACCCTGGCGACCAGCAAGCTCCATCATCTAGAGGAACAGAATGCAACCTGGAATACGGAGAAAAATTGCCCAGGGATGTAAAAATATGATCTAAATCTCACTGCTGCAACCGTAACACCGGAATGCAACATGTTAATGTTCATGATGTCCAGTCCAGTCGCGGCAGTGCAGCTCATTTTCTTTTGCCAAGCTTGAGAAGTGGCTTGCCGCACATCCTATTGCCCGGGCCCGGTTCAGAAACAGCGGCGCAGCGCCACTGTCATCATGTAGGCACACCCGTGGCGCCTCACAGAGTTCGGCACCTGCACCCAGAGCACTGCGTATATCCAATGATATCCAATGTGCATATCACTTGATGGGCAAATGTCTGGAAAGCATGCTGATCAGCATGAGCAATATCTTTTGTGACGTCTAAGTACATGCAATGCTGTTCCCATCTGCAAATCAGGCTGGCGGAGACGAGATATCCCTGCCCGCTTTCTGTACCATTGTGAAACGATGTGCGCGCGCACGGTAGACTTGCCGATGTTGTATTACAGAGATTCAGCAGCTCCAGCTAAAAAGCCGCAGCCAGTCACCTATTCACTGGTTGGGAATTCTGCAGCTCAGAGACTTTGTCTGCACTTACTTTGTGTGCCGACAACTCTTCTCTCCGCTTCTTCTCTGCCGTTTCCTGTGAAGCCGCGGGCTGCGGATTTTGGTTTGTGCCCACGTTGAAACCTACTGAGAGTCCGATCACCACCCCTGTGCTGAGTGTTCCGATCCACGTTAGGTCTGGTCCTGGAGCATCTGACTGCGAAGCAGTCCGGGAAGGCTGGCTCAGTTGGCTCCTCTTTGCCTGTTGCCGAGGTGCCTGCACTGGCTCTTCCTCGGGATTCCGCAGCACGCCTTGGACTACAAGGCTGAGAAGAATGCCTGAGGCCGAACCGATGGCCACAGCGCGAACCCTCTTGGAGAGCTTCTCATCTGGCTGCTTCGAGTCAGCCCGAGCTGGAGCGTCCCAAAGCGATGGCTGCCGGTCCCGAGGTGGACCAACAAATGCAGTGCAAAGGAGAGCTGTTGATGCCAGCATGGCAAGTTTGCCAAGGGTCTGCCGGCGAGCCTGTCGTGTCCCTGATGTGCTTCTACTTCTGGTTGCCATGGAAAGGACAGCGCAGCTGGCCAGCCATGCTGAACAGGCCAACCAAACCGAAGCCTCCCATGGACAGCAGAATGCTTCCATAGACAGGTAGTTGCTGAATGTTCTGACCTTCCCTGTGTCCCCTCCAGGTCTGCGCGCGAAGTGCTGAAAGTCTTTTCTGGACAGAACGTACTGTTGCAGCAACACCACTGAAAGCACCAACACCAACAATGTAGCACCAGATCTGAAAGCTGCTCTGCCAAGCCCTCCAGTCGCCATGGCGGCTGGCTGGACACTTCTAGCCCAATTGATCCAAAGGATACGTTCTCGCATGTAAGCTTGGGGGGTTCTCGTTGCAAAGTCTGTGCGTAGACAAGCAAGACCTCTGCAAGCTCAAATGTTGCCTTCTGGACTAAGCAATGGAACCTGAGCCTGGACAACTTCAAGATGCCACGTCAAGAAAGCAACTGCTGGTGTGGCAAGCTCAAATCTTCAGAGCTTCATGGCCCGGGAGAAGGTTTACGCAGATGAAACACTCTGAATGCAAAGCAAAGACGCCGCTTTTTCTGCAGCATGTCCATCAGTTTGGCGTGCAGGCCTGGGAGGAAAACGCGCGCGCCTTTGAGGCACAGTGCAACTGACCACCAATGCACTACCTGCGCGGAAAGAAACGAATTCACAGTTGCTAAACACTTATGATTAAAACTAAGTTGTCGCTTGAAAGCGAGCTCGTTTAACATCAGCGGGAGCCGCGAGTTCTATCATAAACTCTCTTGTTTCATGCTGCACCATACTGGCACGCTGCGGTGATGGCCGCACTCGGGGCTCCTTTCTGCAAGGAACGTGGAAAACTGGTGCTTGGCTGGCATGAGACGGATTCAAGTTCAGGCTCATAGCAGATGGCCCTCAGTACTTGAACGCGGTTCCTTAGCATCTTTAGCAAGAAGACGGGCGGCCTAGTGACACCTGTCCACTGCATGTAAGCATCTTATCTCTCCCCATTCATCGCTGCCCGCAGGCTTGTACTGAGACTCCATGTCGATGGAAATGCCTCCCCATGCATCATGCAGGCAGAGACTTTAGCCGCCAAAACATGCAGATGCAAAGAACACACTGGCTAGACCTCCTCATATTGGACACAGTGGTGACCAGTGGTGTTTCGTGGAGATTCTGGCCTGGCCTAGGGACTTGCTCAGCCTGATCCTGATCTGACCGTGCTCACCGAGATCTGCCGTTAACCACCGATTCATGGGGTCATCGTCATCCTCCTCGACGAGAAAGCCTCCGTAGATGACAAGTCACATCACATAGCAGTCGCAGGCTCTGACCCTGCACGGCTATGGATTGCCTGTGACATTGTTCTCAACCTCAGCAGGTGTCTGACCCATCATGCCCACTGTCACTATGAACTGTTGGTGCCTCTTGCGAACAAGCTGCATAGATAAGCTTGTCATCATCATCCCGCGTTACCTGCACCCAAGTGAGCGCGGATGTCGCATTTCATGAACCATAACCTCCTGACAAAGAGGCCTGGTACTTGCCAGAGTTGTACTGCCACTTTCCCATGTGCGGATTCATGAACTTCCTGGGGCAAACTGACTGTAGGATGGTAGCCGCAAGCCAACCAAGGAAGTATCCCCCGCCCTCTGTTCTCTTTCCCTGTAATTAGGTGGGCTGTTTGTTGCAACGCTACCACAGCTCGAGGAATTATCCTGCTTTGTATTAAAGCTGCTGGACAGACAGTCGATTAATCTGTAGCTGTCCACAAACTTGTGAGCTTTCATTTTGGGGACTGAGAATGAGCACTGATATTGCCCAACTGCTCCAATGCCTTTCTGCTGCTTCATACTCTTCTAGGAATACAAGTATCGGCATTGTTTTGTATGGTGATCCTAGCCTGAGAGCCTGTGCCTGCAGCTCCCAGCTGGCCATCTTGAGGCTGCTGTCTAAGAATTGGAGGGCAGTTCCCAACTCCCGCAAACACACTCGATAATCTGGATAAGTGCATGACATTGCGTAGCAGTGCACAGCTTGCAAGCTTACGCTCTGCGCCTCTCCGCCCTCTCACAGTCACTCATGCAACCAGGCAGCTCATAAATCTCAGGGCAGGGACGCAGGCGCAAGGGCTCTGTGTTGTCCCATGATTGGCCAGGCTCCCACTTGGTTGTGCGTTCAATGCAAGATAACACGCTTCATTCAATTGCAGCTTCTGCTGTGTATTGCCAAGTTGCCTGGTTGTTACCTGATAGGGCCTCAGATGAAGGCCCGATGCCAAAAAACCAATGACTTCTATCGCAGCCCAGTCTACCTGCACAACTCCTCCGATCTGCTCGCTGAATCCTGACTGTGCCTGTCGGGCGAGTCTGCTCTGAGAAGATTGCGCTACAAAACTGCGGCCTTGCTTGGCAGTTCAGAAGCCGTGACGGACTCGATGCACCTAGGTACAAAATCTTCATGTTACAGCAGTCGCAGACAAGACCAACGTCCATGAAACGAGTTCGCCGCGGCGCAGCTGGTAAACATCTCCGGTTGTCTCGCAGACATGCCAGCAGCTCCCGCAAAGGCCATCATCACATTGATAGACTATCTTGTGGCCTGGCCACGGCTCAAATTCGAACTACTGCACAAACAAAACACTTCTGGTTCTTAGCACGGAATCAGGGAATATAACCCCTGTAAAATCCCTGTAGGATATATTTTCATATTCCCTACAAAGAACCAGTTGAGATAGTCTGCACGCAAGTTGGGGTCCACCAACCACATGCCCATCGCCTGCTGCCCTGGCAGCATCCTGAAGCTTGGCAGTGGGGCGGACAACCACAGGTTCAGCGGGCTCCGGGAAGATGACCTGAAGCACTTCAAGTCAGCATCAACACACAGTGATCATACTACTAACTTAGGTGGGCCCCCAACCCAGTAATAGTGACTATAAGGGATAACAGAGATTATAGTAGGGTCCTCTTATATTCTTATTATACCACTATTACAGGGTGGGGAGTCCTCCTAACTACTAACAATCATGGTAACAATAAGAATGCCTGTAATAGGAACAGCAACAACAATAATAATGACAACATTGCAAAATCCTGCGCCTGAATCGGCCCACGAGCTTGTCGAGCAAACTTTATGACAACCTGCAGAAGGCTGCAAAGGCTGTATGAACCCCTACATAATCCCCAGTTTCCATTTCATATTGCACGTTTTTGTCCATGTGGGGAGTGTTAAGCGAGGAATGACCGGCAGTCAGGATGGCCTTATCGCCCGGCTTGAGCTTGGAGACAACATCTACCTCGTCAGGGAAAATGTTCACGCAGATAATTGTAGATACTCTCCATGCATATAGATCTACATACAAATGCCCATATATCCATATACGTAAATTATGTATTCTGTGTTTGCATACTTGTATGATGTCATCTGCATGTCAACTTGCCGATCTTCTGCATGGCCACTTAGCCGAGCGACAACATCCTCCTGAGTCTTTACCCTGATGCCGTTCAACAGCAGCAGCCTGAGTCAAGGAAGGCCACTTGCTACTGAAGGAGCCTTTCGTCAAGCAAGGCCTGTCCCCAGGCATTATCCACATTTTCTGCTCCTCTGAGTCCTAGGAGATTGGCCGAACATGGGAGCTTGCATTTGAGACCAACAAGTTCCAGACGTCCTTGGCCAGAACGCGTGCGTTGTAGTCGAAAGCACTGCCGCCTTCCGCAACTTGACTGACTCCAACGGCTTCCTTGTCCCAGCTCCTGGTGAGCGGCGCTGGGGAAAACCAAGCCGCTCTGTGACTGAGACTTTGCCAATGCAGCAGGGCGGCGTGTCCAATGCCAGGCCCAAAGGAAGCGTGAGGGCCACGTCGAACCAAACCATGTTGCCCACTCGCTTAGCATTCCGAGGGTGCGGACTCTTGATCATAGCGTCATAGTCTTTCCTTAGCCACAGGAGTTCAAGATTTCAAGCATCAGAACCAGCTCAGTATGAAGAGCTCCTTGAGCTAAGCCTCCGCATCTCCTTGAAGTCTTCGAAGATCTCCTCGGCTTCTGCTTTGGTGGCGCGAACGCACACCGTTCTCCGTGGCGCGCCACGTGCCTGAAAGAGATGGATCCATCTGCAACCCAATCTGAACATCTTGCAAAGAGCCAGCCACCAGTGCAGCCCGGGCTCAGGATGAGCTCTACCTGTGCCAAGGCCAGCAATGCAGTAGCTACCTTGAGTCTTGCAGGTTGCCGGGCCTGCGAGTGCGTGTGCAGACCAGCTTCCAAGGTAGGCGCTGCTGAAGTGGCAGCTGAAATACCTGGGCTACACATGTTGTGCCATGTGACGCCACAAGTTGCTGAAGGTACGCATCTCCCATTTCGTCATCAGCTTGAGGGGCGCAGCGGCTGCCAGGATCAGCGCGCCACCAGACACTCGGCATTGCCGCGCCATTGCCAAAATTGATGTTTGCAGGTCAAAGCTTGTGTTTTGAACTGAAGTTGGCTCAGCCTGTCCGCCCTTCTTTTGTAGGGAGGACTTGCCCCAAGTTGCTTCCATCGTCTAAGCACATCCAACACATGTTTGAGCAATTGCTCCGCGTGGCGGCGGCTCTGAATTGCAACATGAAGCTCAACAAATGAGCTGTATCTTATCAAACCTCATTGACCCTGGACGAGGCTCGAAGGCCGGAATTACCCAGACGTGAACCCCATTCCTGCCACAGCCATCAGAAAAGACTTGTGCCCACCTGCAGCATCTGCATTACCTCTGCCGCCGCAGCCATGCGTGGTCCACAGGCCCCTACCACCCTTTACTACCGGTTCAAGACATGGCAGACATAGCAGTAGCAGGCTCCAGATCTGATTCCCGTCTACATTTACAAGTCTTGTGCTTCGTACATCAAACATGTGACAGCACCTCTGAACCACTGACGTCTCCAGTGGCTTCGCGGAGCTGCAGACTGCCGCTGAACGCAAACAAACACTGCGGAGAAACTGAAGCTGGGATGCTTCGGGGCCGCTGCTTCCACATAAGCCACAGTGAAGTTTTGCTCGGCGTCCACGATGAGGGGCTCCGTTGCCATTGCCACGGCAATCTTGGCGGGAGCGACAGTCCCAAACGAACACACTACATGGCTTGCGGCTTGTCAAACTCCAGCTAGAATTCAGTACTGTTGTTTAATCACTCATTGTCCCTTCCCGTGCTTCAGTTTGCTTGTAAAAGTGCATTCTGTGTGGTGGTACATAGCGCTCATCAACTGAGGCTCACGCTGCCCCCTCGTCATCCCGCGCACGGACTGCCTTGTCACGCATGTGATTATCATGAGGCAATGAGTGCAGGTTACGAGTACCCTGCTATTGACCTTGGAGTTTGTTCTTGCTGTCGCCAGTACTTGTGGTGCTGTCTACTGGGCCACGCACATTTTTGGGAACTCACCTCCAAGGCTAGGACCAGATGGTACTGTCCCGCAGGCATATGCACAAGTGCCTCCCAGAAGCCACTGGTTGACACGACTCTTTTGACTGAAAGCCCTTGATTGTATGTGCTCCAGAACGCACAGGCCAACCTCCGGCGAGCGACCCCATGGCCTGCGAGCGTTCATCCGACACGCAGCCATGAACTGGTGACAGACCTCTGGGCACGTGGGCTGAGGCACGTGCCGTAGCAGCTGCCTCAGCCCGGCAAAAGGACGAAAGAATCCCCCATACCAAGTGCTGACGGACTTTGTTTGGCATCTGCAGGACTGCGACAGCAAGCTGTTTCAGGTCAGCACCCGCTAAGCTCTTTCCAGTACCGTGAGCTCCGGGGATTGTCCTGCAAACGTTGGCACCCTCGCTGTATAAGGCCAGCCGAAGCAGCAGCGACGTGTAACTAATCTTTCGATTCTACATCAATGCAAAGCATGCAAAGGGGCCAGCTAATGCTGCTGCTGCTGCTGCTGCTGCTGCTGCTGCTGCTGCTGCTGCTACCGCAGAACATATCATCATTCTTTATCTGCTCAGCCGGTCCCAGTCTATCTGTGGAGCTGGCGAATCGTCGGGATCTGTGCCTCAGATCGGAATGTGTAGGACATAGGGTGCCCCTGAACTCAAACTCCGCGCTCAAGTTACGCCCAGCAGCCTCGCTGGATCTCCTCAGGCTCATCTAGCAGAAGACTGAAGATAATATGGGGGTTTCCCAAAATTAGGGGTACCATTTTGAGGGTCCCCATAATAAGGATTATAGTATATTGGGTTCTATATTGGGGGACACTCCCTATAGCATCTGCCAGAGATTTGCTCTTCAAAGACGGCAAGGTCCTGGAGCGGGAAAGCGACGAACTCATATTCCAGGACAGTAGGCCTCTCATCCATCCTGACGTAGAGTGACAAACGGAGCCACTATCATCAGAATGAAGCCGACAATTCGGACGCTGAGCAGGTGACCACATGCTGGTTTCAACTGTGAAGGTTGTCCTCAGGGATGGCTCTCTGCTGTCAGCACAGCGCAGCAAGGGCTGAGGGCAGGGCCCAATGGAGAAACCACGAAAGGATGGCCGGACCTTGGCACGTTTTTTGAAGCATCTGCACTGACAGAAATCGCACAGATACTGCAACATCTGCGAGGCTGGCTGTGATCGAGCCGGCTGAAGGCGGTTCTTCGGCCACAAACTTTGGGGACGTGATCGCAATCGCAACGCCGTTCCGCAGAATGTTCTCCAGTGGCGGCCGGTCTGGGGCCGTAGCGAGGACATCAGCCAAGGCGCTTTCACTGTCAGACTGTAGCAGGACATGGTAGTAGGGAATTCCTGGTAGCAACCCACCATCACTCACACCGGACTGTAGCTCAAGAAAGTTGCCCATTGTTTCCGCCTGCGTGGGGAGGATTCGATCCAGTCTGGGTAAGAGACGGTCTTCGATAAGCACCCACTGCCAGTGGACTTCCGGAACGAGGCATCCTGGGCCTGCCTGCCCAGCTACATCCACAGCGGCACCAACAACAGGTATCCCGTCTGAAAGGTTCACTTTGCCCGTGTATGCGTAATTCGGGAACTTCAAAGCCAGTGTTGCAAAGGAAGTGTTCCGCACCTGCACAGGATTCCTGGCAATCGCTGAAGGCCCACCACCAATCTTGCGGCGAACGATCACTGAGAAGCGGTGGATGCCAGGAAGCAGGCCGGGTCGCACCATTAGCTTTGGCCCAGCAGCTCCCATGCCATCTGTCTGTGAAGCTGCAGGCCCGAAATTTGGCAGACTTGCACAGATGTCAAGCTCACCGACTTGCACAATGGATGAACACCTCCATTCAAACTCAAAGTCTGAGAGGTCGCTTGGTTGGGTGGGGTCCCACGCCGAAACACTTAGTTCAAAGCCACACTGGGATGCGATTCTGGGACCGATGATGTGCACTTCCAGCGGTGGCAATGGCTCGACTGCAATTCTAAACACAACATTTGCCCTTGGAGCAAGGGTAGGGCGTGTGTCGAAGGCAGCAACGGCTCGGAGAAGGTGGAACGTGCCAGGCTGAAAGGCATAGGGTAAGAGCTCCACAGAATTAGGGTCGCCTGACTGATCGCGCCACAATGGGTTCAATGCTGCCAAGCTCTCCAAGGCCTGGAAGGGCCCAAAGCCAGGTTCAACGCCCCGGTACTCCCATGTCACGTTCGTCCGGCCAGCACTTTGTCCAGGATCTCGCAAAGCACACTGAAGTGCAAAGGGCGCCTCCGAAGTGATGACCGAGAGACGCAGACTGTCACTGTGTCTGAGCTGCGAGTCCGTGGCCCCTACAGGAAAGATGACTGGCTCTGCCTGTGCTGTTGACCCGACCACCCCTGCCGAAACAACTGCCTCCGTGCTGTTGCCTAAGGCATTTCTCACGATCAGCCTCACTTCTAAGCGTACCTCCCCCTCTCTCAGCTGCTCACCTAGACGCGCACCCGCTTCTGACAGGATGCCCGGACCTACAACCACAGAGGCCGCACTCGTCGCTGTAGCTTCTTGCAGCAGTGTCGACAGTCGAGGTGTGCGAAACCAGCTTGGCGTTCCCGGTCCGAAGCCCCAGAAGAATTGGAGCGGGTCGCCCCTGGAATCAAAGGAGTTGGCTCCGTTGAAGATAAGCTCGCCGCAGGCCTGCACAGTTGCCGGTATAGCCTCGAGCTTTGCTTCCACGTAGGGCAAATTGGCTGTTTCATTGGATACGTTCTCAGAGTTCTGGGCATACAGAACGGGCACCAGAAACAGCAGGAGTGCTTGCATTCACCTCCTCCGAGGCCCGCCCAATGCTGAACTGTGTTTCACATCGTCGGTCTCTGTGCTCAAGGATTCCTTGGCAGGCAGATGCAGCTACTTCAACTTGTAGGTGTATCAGCACATCAAAGAAGCTTCAATGACAACCTGGCTTACCGGAAGAGACAAAGCTTACATCCATCCAAGCAGCACAAGAAAACTGAAAAAGCGACTCCAAGCCTTAAGCTTGAGCCGCTTCCACGGCGACGCGTCCACCAAAATTCAACTAGCCATGGTCTCGCCTTGTTCGGGCTACGGGCACCACTATCGTCATACAATGTAACATGCCCCCATCCCAAAGATAGGCATACAATCCTAGGAATAATCCCAACACACACATAGCCCAAATAGCCAAGGGTTCTTTGGTGCAACAGGTACAACATCTTCTTTGAGTTCGTCCTACAACAAAAGAACAAAGATTCCTTGCCTACTTCCAGGCGCTGTTCAAAGTGAATGAAGAGCATATTGGTAACATGTGTTGCGTTTGTCCTGACGAGGAACGTGCAAACATTCACGGCTTCTGCATACATTTCATAGAAGGTGTTTTGTCCAACTGTGCCGAGTTCTCCTCCGAGAACGATTTGATTCCATTAGTGTTCTTGAGCCTGAATATGTCCCAAACAAAACCGTTTTAATCGAATAATGGTGCTAACACATGGACAACCCATGCAGTATTATTAGAATCTTACACACTTCGGATCGTCGGCAAAATCGTCTACCACTATCAAATTACTAAATACGTCTGTCTGTTATCCTGGAAGTCAATGATGAATTCTGGAACAACAATTAAAATCTACTTAGCATGCATGAATGTCTGATCAAGAAGAGCATCATAAACAACATGGTGGAAAACACTCAGAAGCCGATGGTTAAACCTGCTTACCCTTCTAATGTAAATTGAAAACTTTCCATTAAGAAGCAAAGAAAACCAACGGAGGTACGACAATCATTGACGATAGGAGTAGTTGGAAAGTTGGCGGCAAAGGAGTTACCTCGGATGCAAGCAGAACATCCAAAACGAACACACCAGACCAACGATGCGTTGCAGTTTCAACTGGATGGCGGTCTCGCAAGAGGTTAGTGCAAGTAGAGGAGATGTTGAGCTGTCGGATATGGATGTGAATCAACTTGAGAGGCATCTGGAAAGTATGGATGGAACAATGACAAACCTTCATTGGTAAAGCAGACCGCGAAGGCAAGTTCCTCGTTTGGACCAGACACTAAAGCTAGAACGGCATCCAATGTTCTGAGACGTCATAGGCACACCATAAGAGTGTACTAATGGACGCTAGTTTGTAGTGAGCTTCGTTAATGCTCAAGCTTGTATACCTGCGCGTGTTACATAATCTCACGTTATGAAAACATGTACAGTTGAAAAACGCTAGTAAGAGCTCAAAACATGTCATTTCAATTTGGCCCACACAGCGAACCAGGTATTAGTCTCAAGTGAGGGTTTTCGCATATGTGAAGCGTATTTCGATTTCTTGGGCCTATTTTAGGCCCTCATAACAATCCATTCAGTCATTCAGTTCATTCTTGAACTACTTATCCTTGGGCTAGCTAGGAGGAGGATTGATGGACGAATCGGGTAGGAGGAGGAAGAAAAGTAATAATGTGTTGATGAATACCTTAATAAAGGTACCTGTACCAAAGTTGAAGATATATGCTGCCCCCAAACATGTTACTAGGTTGGTAAGCATTCTTACAGTCATATGAAATCCATTTGGCTTTCTCCGAACGCTTGGATATCGGGTGGTAAACACTCAAGAGCAATGACACCTGTATAGATTAAGCCAGTGAAGGCAGCAGATATTTGCTAAGTGCCAGATAATGAAACAGCTCAAGACATTTGAGGAAAGCTGCAAGACATGCATTGCGCGCAGAGAAAATGCAAAGAGATATCATGAAAGAAACAAAGACACACTCGTCTCAACGAACACACTGAATACATGTCGCAAACCCCTGAAAAGTCGAGGGGCCAGAATCGCGTCAAGAGAATCAACAACAAAGCTGCTACCTGTCCTGTGTGCAACTACGAACGAAAGAAGTGTGAACCGGCTTAACACGAAAAGTCGTAAGCACGTTGACATCAGCAGCTCATGCAGGATCTAATTGATCTAGAAGTTGAGAACGATGCTCCTGAGTGCTCCTCAACTAGACAGATCCATACAGCATCAAGGAAATAAACGGCGAAGAACACGAGTGTTCCAGGACTTGCCTTTATTGCTTCTTACTTCAGATGTGGTACATATACTTTAGAATCATGAAATGATTCGGGACTCTAAGAAGCTAAAGCACTGGCTTTACCCTTAGCCCCAAACACTGAACCAACTTCTACGACAACCTCCTCGCCTCTTTTAGGCTAGGGTACCTAGGTTCTCTCTCGTGTTGCGATTATTCCTAGGATTGCACTTCTATATACCTTTGGGAAGCAATGTTACATAGTTGGTAGTGGTGCCCATAGCCCAAAAAGGCGAGGCCATGGCTAACTAGGTCCCCACCCAGCCGTACTCTGGTTTGTCCCTGATTGAATGTGGACTTTGATCTTTTTCCTCACACATCATATAGGGCAAAGTGCTGCAGCTCGAGCTGCAGTTCGATGCCACCCTGGCCTTGACAAGTTTCAAATCAGCTTTGTGATTCGGAGGCAAGTGCGTAGTCGTGTGTGCATATTCACACAGAGCAAACAGCTCCCACGGCAGACGCCCTGCACAAACTCCAGCAGATGCTGGCTCAATTTGAGTCACTATCGCTTTGCAAAGAGGCCTCGCTCGGGAAATCTTCCTCAGAGGAAACTGGTACGTCGCACCAGTGCTGTGTTGGCCTCATAGAAACACGTGCCCTTTAACGCTCGTTGCAGGCCTACCTGTTGGGGTGTTCGGGCATGCTTGCCCTTCTGCTGGATTCTAGCTGGCACCACGAGTTGAAAGGTTTCTGGCTTCAGTTTTGGGAGGATGAAGGTCACGCGGTGAAGGCTAGTAGTCAAAGCAATGCGCATTTGGGTTAAGCTTAAGGTTGCGCAAGCTGGACTTCAGGTGAACCTTTACGAGGTCCTCATGAGGACAGAATTCATTCACATCATGTCAACCTAACTGCTGAAGCATGTGAATATGAGAGTCAAGGCGTGGCTATGATGAACATGTGCCATCCTGGCGAAGCGTACAAATGTCTCTGCTTAAGAGCAACTGATTGTCAGTGAGGAAGTTGGAAGTTCCCATGTGATTTCATGTAAGGTACGTAACGCTGACACTCATAGCTGCAGCCGGAGCCCACATGCACCATACCGCTTCAAGCTTGCCAGTGCAAAGCTTCTACATCATCTACATCTTTCTCAGGCAAGAGTCTCCTCGAAAATGATTTGGATTCCAGACTTTCGAGCCCACGAGTGCACGCGAATGTCCAAAAGCAGCATGGCAAAAAGGGCGAGTGCTATTGCCGAGAGAAAATGCCACCAGTCATGCCTCATGGCAAAACAGGTTGTTTCCGGATAAACCAGACAATGCATGAATGCACGGCAAGGAGAGGTGTCATGCAGGCAACTCAGGCACAAGTCAAATATGTGGATCACGCAGTCTTGGTTAGCATCGTGGCTTTGAGCAGGCGTCGCATCCGGGGTCACAATGACAACCTGAACGTTGCCGTATAGAATCAACAGTGCGGCTCCCCACTACTCTTTGCATCCAGTCCCCCTTAAGCAGATAGAATATGGGGTATATTATTGGGATTATATAGGGAATAATGGAAAAGAAAATGGAAAGTACTATAGTATAGTAGGGTATATATTCCACCCACCTTCTGATTGAAGCAGTGGTTTGCCAGCACGGCTGCGCAAACCATGACGATAAGGTAGTTGTACTTGATGATACGAGTGCCAATCTCCTGCAGGTCCCGAAGCGACAAGTCTAACTAGGAGGCCAAGTCTGTCTAGACTCCTAGTATCCCTCTCAATAAGCCCTATAGTAGTCCCTATATGGTAGTTTCCCAGAATAAGGGTACCCCAATATAGACCCCAATATACTATAGTCCCTATAATTGGGACCCCTAAAAAGGTACCCCTGTTTTTGGGAAACCCCCATATATTCCCTTATATAGCCCACCGGTTTAACGAGTGTAGACCCGAAACCCTAAACCCTAAATCCTAATCCCCTATAAAACCCCCTTTATGGTTCACATGACTATGTTTGCAAACCCTGGAAACAAGGCTTTGGGCATCCGGCATCCTCGCAGTTCATGAACCACAGGTCCTGCCGCCATTCAGATGAGTAGTCTACACTCCTTAAAGGGGGTTTTATAGGGTATTATTTAGGGGAGAACTATAGCGGTTATTAAGGGGGATACCAGGAGTTTGGACTAGAGCTCGCATCATTACATGCAAAGGCATGGAACGAATGCTACAGTAGCCCTTACCACTTGTACTTTCAGAAGTGTTGTGCCAATCCAGCGCCAGAACAATTGCTACTGTCAGGCTGCAACAATCAACATTGAGGTGGCAGAAGTGATCTCTCTTCCTTGCTGGTATTTTTCGAGATTAACATTTTCTTAGAGCTTTTTGCGTGCATTTCCCAGTCTTTTCGGCGTTGTCCATGAAGTTCGGGTGTGTTTTGTCGTGGTCCAATCCTGTTTCATGTGTTTCCTTCTTGATTTTCCATTGGTCTACGTGTTGTGTCCCCCATTTTCGATTGCTTTGCCCACTATTCCCTTGTAGTAGAATCGCTGCAATGCCAAACAGGACAAGAATAATCAAAAGTAACAATCGTAGGAAGATACATGACAGCACTCAAGGCAACAATTGCAATGTGCAAAAGAAATTGCTGATTGCAGGGGTGTAGAACAGCAGTAGCCGTGGTAGTTCCAAAGCCCAGAAATCCGGCCACATGACAGAAAGAGCGGCAAGCTAGCCGTTCACACGTTGACAGCGATACTGCTCTCAACAACCCTCAATCACATGGCATGCGATTTTTGCCATCAAAAGGTTCGTTGGCTTTTCGTTTGAGCTAGGAGGGGGGTCGGGGGAGGGTGCTGCTATTGACAGGAGTACAAGATGGATTTTGCGCATCACCACCGTCAAGCTGCCAACCAAGAAGTGCCACGTACCCCTGGACTTCAAAATATGACGTACAAGTGGGTTGAGCATATAGCCGGCCTCAAGTGCAACCTGTGATCAGTTAAACTTCCGTCAATCCTGTTGTGGAGTGAATTGCGTGCTTGTGCTGGAAACCAGCGTTCAGGGAAGCACTATCTTAGCTTCACAAGTTTCATCTCAAACACCTGTTGGAAGGTAAGTCTGAGGGCAGAGTTGCCTGCGGAGAGCTTTAACAAAGTTGGTTTCGTTATGAGTCTCGCCATGCAAATTCTACCAAAAGGCGGCCGCACATGACAAAACGCATAGTTGAGGAAAAAACCAAGCTCCGAGCAGCAAACCTGATTCTGATGCTGGCATGATTGTAGTGACAGCGTGAAAACTCTTTCTAGCAATAATACTAGCACCCGTGACGAATACGGGCCATATTTGAAGATGGCAATGTCATAGCAATAATGATGCCGGGCGCCAACAACGACATAGGTAAGCATCCTGGCAATTGAACTAAGTTTGCCATGTTCACAGTCAAGAGACACGACCACAAGAAAATTCATGAAGATGCTTGGTAGTCAAAGAAATCATTGTGGTACGGGTAGTGCAGTGGCCATGCATGTAAAACAGCAAATGCAGAAGGAAAGGCATGGCTGAGAAGCTACAGAGCCAAGAAGCGGCAAGCCAGGAGGAATTCAGCCAGCCAACGTGCAAATAAGAACGCCACAAAAAAAAAGTCCACGAACCATGAAAACAGGAAGCTGGGTGGCATTTTGAGAGCAGCACGGAAGGCCAACGTGCAGGAAGCTTGTGGCTTTACAGGGGAAATTGCAAAGGACCCCTGCAAGGAAGTCTCACATTTCAGCCGCAGCGGAAGCAAATACAACGCATTACGACGGTCCAGCCAGAAGATCTGCCGGCTCACCACGACGATCATCAGGACGATGGAGAGTAGCAGGAAAGTGTTAGCTGTCCCTCCCAGGGCTCGACGCACCTCGGTTGCCTTCCACCTCCAAAAAAAAAGGTGCAAGAGTGTTCTCAACATGCAATGCGGAACAAGTGGCAGTCGGTTCAGCGAATGCCAACCTTGGCTAAATTTTGGGTAGGTCTTCTCAGCACATCTTTTATTCGCGCGCTTTGAGGTGAAGCGTTGAGATGTGCTAGCAGAAGTGTGATTGCAGCCGATTCGGGGATTGCCGCTGGCTAACATGCCTGTTGAAAGCCGGGTGGCCCTACCACCACGACAAGAAGAACCTGCATGGCCCTCATGGCGCATTTGCCATACTTCCCCATGGGTTGTATGGTGGGAACTCTATCTACCAGCCACTTTGGCGTCTTGAAGAGGCGGTGCATGTTAACCACGGCCGCCACTGTCCAGACCTGTCAGTGAAACAGCTATGCACACATAAATAAAAATACAACACACATGACAACATCCAATGGTGGCCCGCAATGAAACCAAAGTAAACTCTTTGTCAAAAGCGCAGAAGACTGGTCAGTAGAATCTGTGCATGGGAAGTGAGTTGAGAAGGCACGTCATCATCACTGTCTGCAGCCATGGTGCGACCACTGAGACGGCATATATCCAGTACAGCAGCGGGCAGTCGAAGACGTCTATGTCATACCAGGTGCCAATGAAGGTTATGACCCAAACAGGGGTGAGAATATAGATAAAATATCTCAGGGCGGTAGTTGTGTCTTCATAAGTTTCGCTCCAGTCAACAAGCGTGATGGTCAGCAAGTTTGCTATCGGGATCATGAAGCAGGTGTCAAACTGAAACGTCTCAACAGAGGGGCAAAGATGGTAACACATGCTTCCGATGCCCTCCGCAGCATACGTAAGGGCCAAGGCATAAAAAGCTCGAAGGTCAATCTCACTTGCCGCCCGCCGAAATTCGTCTTCTGCTAGGTATCCATCACGCGCCTTGTTCAGCCTATCGAACGCGTCCGACCACTCTTTACGAGACAAGAGCCCATCCTCAACCGTGTCAATGAAGTCAAACGCAAGAAAGTTTCCGTAGTGTTTAAACCAATCACGCCTGGAGACGTGTTCATCATCCCTTTTGTGGACTTCTTGAAAGACTGTCTCCCATTGCTTCTTTGCCAAGCGTTGTTCGGGCTCAATGTTCAACTTTGTGAACAGTTCGTTGAAAAGTTCACTCATAGTCTGGTGCAAAAACTGACGACAGCGGACTTCCGCGAGGAAGGCCTGCATCATGGTGTGTGCCGCAGCCACAAAGTAGGCAAGGTTTGACAGCATGTGGTTCCACGGCACGTCCCAAATCAATCCAGGAAAGAAACACTTCTCGTTGTAAAAGCATATGTCCCGGTTTCCGGTGCGCACCATTAGTCCATAATGAGCAAGAACGAACTGAGCAGCGGTAGCTAGGAATACGCCTATCATCAGGGCTAAGAGGCCTGGAAAAAATGGCACTGGGCGAAGGATGTACTTCATCTTCTCGCGGAGTATTGCATCCATGTGCGTCTGGTTGGGCAGTGACATGCAAACTGGCCACAAGAAATATTGCGAACCTGCGGAGCGCATACGATAGAGTGCCTCATGAGCAAGAAAGTTTATCGCATTCGTACAGAACAAGACGAGAATCGGACCGAGAACCATGATTGCTCCACCAAGCCAAAGCTTTCGACTTTGGCCGTGGCCACGAGCGAACTCCACATCTATTCTGACTTGCTTGGTAGTTAGCTTTGGGGTGGCACTGTAGCAGGTCACAAACAGGAGCCAACGCCCGGATTGAAGCCGCGGGTATGAGCCCCTGCTAAGCGTCAAAGTCGCTGACTTCGAGAAGCTCATGCTCATGGAGATTTTCAGAAACGCCATTTCATCTGGAGGTCTGAATGAAACTGGTGCAGAGTGGGTGCAGAGCAAAAGCGTGACTGGATCGAAACAACCTCCATCCCGCAGAATGGAAGCTAAGCAGGGCGATGACTCGTGCATAACATAGGCATAGTACGTGTTGCCGGGTATTTGGAATTCATCCGGGACGCGTAGGCTCACTCGCCACAAATCGAGCCCACGCGGGACTCGGAAGAGGTGAAAAGCACCAAAGGCACCGGAGCCATTGGTACCACCCACATCCACCCAAAGGTTGGTAATGTTTTCGCCCATGCCCTCTTCCAAGGTAGCCACATGTGCATCCACTCTTGCTTGCAGATTGGCTTGCACTGCCATAGCTAAGGATTTGGTCCCTTCATCCAAACCTCGGAGACACAGCAGCTTAGCAGCCATCACAAGCACCGAGCAGTTCGAGTCTGTGACAAAGGCAGGGTTGAGCTGAATGACATCCTGCATGTAGTGTACAGCTGCCTGTGCATCTAACTCTCCCTGGCAGCTCGCGCTGCTCGCGCTGCTCGCGTTCCAGCCCAAAGGATGCTGAGGCTGCGCCAGTGTGACGCTCATGTTTACGTAGAGCCGGAAGTGCTCGGCCTGCTTTGAGTCTGGGACATTCATCAAGAACTTGGCATTCTCCTCATATGTAACTCCGCCAGTGCAGTGGAAAGCACCACCTCCAAATCAGGACAGCTGGCTCAAGAGTACTTACCATCGCGGGCTTCCGTTCGTGTGAGATTGTTCTGGGGGCTGCAGGTATGGTATCTCGGGCTTTGGGCTCTCGTGTGCTTGCAGCTGGGAAGCGCTCGGAGGCGACACAGGCGGGAAGTTGTGCAAAGCCCTCCTGACGCAGGGCAAGTACGTTGAAGTTTGCAAGTTACTTGCTTGTTGGGCCTCCGCCCAGCAGAGAAGAGCGACGCTTAGCAACTTGCGACACATGGCTTGAGATGACCATGTGCTTTGCTTCTGCTCTTATTGAACCCTAGAATGTTGTTGTCCTGCCTGCCGAACAGGAGAAGACAGATTTTCGCCCGTGCTAGCGTACTGAACTGAGGCCTGAAGTAGACAGTGACGCAGGCAAACACCGCGCAGAAAGATGAGAAACATGAGGCCAACATGCCATGCATTTTTACATCACCAACCTGGGAAAAGCGTGTAATTCCAGGAGGCTACATCAAGCACTCAGCTTGAGCCATGGGCCGAACAGCTTTGCCTCTTAACTTGCCGCAGGCCACTTTGCGGCTTGAGGGCTCCCTTCTTCTTGCACATTTTCCATATAGCAGCATGGGAGGAAAAGCGGGAATCCCGGTGCTTCTTCGCTCCAGGTGCTAAATTCAGCACTGCGGGTGGTGCACGTATGTGGACGCGTGCACGGTCACCCCCCGAGATCTACCCTCTGGAGGCCATTTATCTTGTTCAATCCCTGCCTTAAAGTCAAGGATTCATGGCGTGCCTTCTATCCAACATCTACGCGAACATTCCTGCCTACTCAAGGTGCATGCTCTCTTTGCTGGAAAAGACCTAGGGCACTGGTATGTCTGTCATGTATATAATACGCGCAAACATTCTGCCAAACAGTGGCCGAATCCCAAAAAAACAGCATATCCCAGCCCCGTCACTCTGGGCAACGAAATGAGTGTGTTAAACCAGGGTTGGCAAGTCCGTGCAGGGTTTGAAGAACATGTAGAACATCAAGAACAGGAAAAAGGTTGATTGTACCCGCACAACGCGAATGCCAAGATGAGGTGAGGAGGAAGAATGTGGCAGGTGAGAAACTGCAAAAGGAGGGTGAAAAAGAATTGGACCCATCAACATATATATACATATATATATATTATATACATGTATATAATACATGAGAGCTTTCGCACAGACAATCATGACGAACTTCCTGGTGTCCCCACGCATGTTCAGCCTGGAGGGTTTTGTAACTGCTGATGGCACGTATCCTGGGCAAATGAAAAAGCTTCCTTCAAACGAGCGAACATCAGTTTGAGGTTGCATCAAGGATCTAGATAGCACAACAGTGCATCTTTCTTCAAAAGCTTGAATTGCAAGGAGAACTGTGTAAGCATTCAGAATTTGATTTCGGCACGAGCTATTGCATAGGGTAGTGGAAGGGCTTCACCTGGTTCCAGGCAAGTTCACAACAGTGCCAACACAAGCATAATTCAATTCCAAGGCAATTAGGGGGCATGTTAACTTCAAATAAAACAGCCTTCAGGATTCTCAGGGTGTAGGATCATTAGGATTGGCAGAAAGATGGGATGTATGATGCCACGACCGGAAGCCATGGCCGGGAATGTATCAAGAGCATGAGCAAGGTCACTGAAAGCTTCCGCATCATGTAACGAGTCGTGACTGGTGAAGGCTTGAAGGCAGATCTTCCGGGGGGGATCGCAAGTGCGCATATCTGGCTTCCTCGCTCTTCTCTCTCTTGGTTTGTTAAGTACTCATTGCAGGGCCAAGCAGATATCAGGGACATAGCGCTCTTCAGAAGGAATCCTTCTGCATGCTGCTAAAGGCTTGTACTGGCCCTCACTGAGCGCGCATCACTTGGCAACTCGAGGTCGCTCAGGTCAGATGGCGACGATGGCGACTCGATGGCGCTGTGGTCAGGAGATTCGTCAGAGTCCGACCCGCAGCAGGGAACCATTTTCCTTGTTTGCAGGCACGCCCCACAAGCAGCAGCTTCAACCTGAAGATCTTCAATTAGTGAAGGCCCACCTAGCCAATGGAGACGGCCTTCAGATAAGAGTCTCCTCGAAAAGGATCTGAACGCGGGATTGTCGAGCCCATGAGTGCACGCGAATGTCCAGAAGCAGCATAGCGAAAAGAGCCAATGCTACTGCCGACAGGGCGTGCCATAGGTCATGCCTAACAGTGTTTAATTTCGGCGAGCTACAGAACAAGCAGGAGAAACGTGAGCTTTATGCAGCAAACGTGCATGTCAAAGACGCTGAATAGGCAATCTTGGTTGGCGTCATGGCTCTCAGCGGGCGTGGCATCCGGCGTTACTATGACAACCTGCCAGGAAATTCTCTGGGCACAGTCTCAATTTCGCACTTGCAAGCACTAGATTCAATCTGCCCCGGCCAGACTCGATGGAATGACCACTTTTGACCCTGCGGCATACTGCGGCCTTCTCATTGAAGCAATGAAGAGACACCACAGCAACGGAGATCATGACCAGAAGGTAGCAGTACTTGATGATGCGTGCGCCAATCTCTCTCACCTGCAGGGGCTCGCAAGGAGCCAAATGCAGGCTTAGGCTCTATCACCTCAACCAGATCACTACAGCAAGCTCATGTAGCACCATGTCATCTTTATGACACATACATATATAGAGAGACGAGCCAAAGAACGATCTGCTTGCCCATCCTTGCAGGTGATGAAGGAAAGGTCCTGCTGCAGAAAAGGCATGTTGACTGCACACAGAACCAAAGAATCCATGCTGCAGGATCGGTTTCTGGCAGACATTTCAATCTCAGATCATCTCAGATTGTCCCGCACCACTTCTGAAACAATTGCTCAGCGAACCCGTCCAGCCAGTAGATCTGGCGACTCACCACGACAATCATCAAGACGATGGAGAGTAGCAGGAAAGTGTTAGCTGTTCCTCCGATGTCTAGACGCACCTTGGTTGCATTTCCACTGAAAGACCAGAGCTTGTCACACCGTGCCTTTTCTGGAGTGTCTACCAAAATAACATGCGAAGCAAGTGGCAGCTGGTTCTGCGAAAGCCGACCTTGTTTCAAAACAGAGGCTCTCATCCATCAACGAATCCCTGTACTCCAAGCCCTGTACTAACCGTTACTAACCGGAATAGGCGGTTCTACCCTTCATCGCAGCTTCTTGTCTGCCTTGTCCATCTAAAGGACAGCGAGCACTGCTCTGATCCCAATTGAGGTGGGGTATGGCTCTGTGTCGCTGTTATCAGCAGGTCGATAATAGGCACATCAAAGGTCGAGGGGCGCCACCACCACAACCAGAAGAACCTGCATCACCCTCATGACGCATTTGCCGTATGCGCCCATGGGCTGCACGGTGCTGGCTCGATCGTCCAGCCACTTCGGCTTTGCAAAGAGGCGGTTCATGTTAGCCACCGCCGCCGCTGCCCAGGCCTGTCAGCCATGTCAAGAATTGTGCCATGCGGGCAACCACCCATCTAGAAGTTACGGACATACTTCATACGAGGCATTAGATCGGAACGGCAATTGATGAACTAGCTGGCAGGTTTGAGGCCGGGGTGCGACCACTGCCACAGCATATATCCAATAGAGCCAGGTGCAGTCAAACACATCTATATCGTACCAGGTGCCAATGAAGTTTATCACCCAAATAGGCGTCAGAACATAGACGAAATATCGCAGGGCCGTAGCCCCATCGCGGCTCTTTTCTCCCTCTCTCCAGTCCAGAAGTGCGATGGTCAGCAAGTTTGCTATCGGGATCATGAAGCAGGTGTCGAACTGAAAAGTCTCAACAGATGGACAGAGATGATAACACATGCTTCCAATGCCCTCAGCCCAAAAGGTAATGGCCACCGCGTAGAAAGATCTAAGGTCAATATCGGCTGCTGTCCGAAATTCAGCTGGTGTTAAGTGGCCATCACCTGCCGTATCTAGTCTATCAAAGGCTCTGGACCACTCTTCGCGAGAAAGTTCACCATCGTCATTTCTATCAATAAAGTCAAAGGCAAGAATATTTCCATAGTGTGCGTGCCACTCCCCTCTGGAAAGGCGTCCATTCCGATTGGAGTCGACACTGTCAAAGATTTCATGCCACTGCTCTATCTTGAGGCCTTTCTCCGAGTCAGAGACTAGATCTTTGAACATTACGGCAAAGGTCCGCTGCAGAAACTGGCGACACCGCACTTCCGCAAAGAAAGCCTGCATCATGGTGTGCGCGCCGGCCACAAAGTATGCCACGTTCGAGAGCATGTTATTCCACGGCACATCCCAAACGAGGCCAGGGGAGAAACACTTTTCGTTGTAGAAGCATATGTCCCGGTTGCCTGTGCGCACCATCAGGCCATAATGTGTAATGACAAACTGAGCAGCGGTGGCCAGGAATACGCCAATCATCAGGGCTAAAAGGCCAGGAAAGAAGGGCACCGGACGTGGCATTGAAGCTATCTTTTCGCAGACCAAGTCCCAGTGCTCCCTGCCGGGCGATGGCAAGAAAACTGGCCACAAGTGACTTCTGCATCTAGTTTCGCGGGATGCCGCGTTGGAGTTGAGGCGATAAAGAACCTCGTAGGCCAAAAAACACATTGCATTCACGCAAGACAAAACCAAAGCCGGACCAAATATCATTATTGCAGCGCCAATCCAAAGCTGTCGCCTTTGGTGGTATCCCCCAGAGAGCGCAACGTCAATCTTGGCCTCTCCGCAGGGTGTGTTCCTGTGGCGCCAGTTGCAGGTCACAAAAAGGAGCCAGCGACCGGACCGAAGGCTTGGTCGGGATCCTCTGCTAATTGTCAAGCTTCCTGACTTTGAGAAACTCAACCACATGGCAACACGCAAACCTGCCATTGGGTCTGGTTTCCTGAAGGAAACTGGAATGCTGTGAGTGCAGGACCAAATCTGTGCAGGATCAAAACAACCGCCATCCTGGAAGGAGCTGGATATGCAAAGCGACTGCTCATGAATAACGTATGCTGTATACGTGTTGTTCAACGATTGGAACTCATCCGGCACGTTCATTCTGACATTCCACAAGTCCAGCGCCACGTCGTGCGGGATTCTGAATAAGTGATAGGCAGCAGTGGCGATGCCACCGGGCACATCGAAAGAAAAGCTTGTGAGGTTTTCGCTCATGCCCTGTTGTGCTTCCACATATGCCTCCACCCTTGCACGACGATCGGCTTGCACCGCCATGGACAAAGTGTGATGCTTACGACCGGCAGGCCGGACACAAAAGAGGTTTGATTCTCTGACAAAAACTGAGCAGTTTCTTGTTTCCGTCAGGGATCGGCGGTCGAGCTCAACAACATCCTGCATGTAGTGCACAGCTGCCTGTGCATCCAGCTTGCCATGGCAAGTGCTGGCATTCCATCCCAGGGGGTGTTCCGCTGCAACGCTGACGTTCAACTTCAACCGGAACTGTTCGACGTTATTATTTGGGTGCGGGACACTCATCAAGAACTTCACGTTCTCCTCACGTGTCACTTCACCAGTGCAATGAAAGGCGCTGCCCGGAGAGCCTGACAGCATATGCCGATCTGAAATGGATCCCTCGGTCCCTTCTTTCAAGCATGGCTCAGCACTGAATGTTTGCGTGAAATTGTCTGGGGGATCCGGCTGAAGCGACCTACACATATGGCTAGCTGATGGTCGATGAGAAAGCATGACCATCCTCTTTGTCTCTTCCGATCAGGGATCCCCAAGCTCCATCTCTTGCAGCTGAGGCGCGCTCGGAGGCAATACAGGCGGGAAGTAGAGCAAAGCCCTCCTGACTCACTGCAGCTGCGTTTTAATCTTGCAAGTTACTTATTTGTTGAGCCTCCACCCAGCAGAGAAGAGCGATGCTCAGCAGCTTGCGACTCATGGCTCGCGATGACCCTGTTCTCGGCTTCTGCTCTTTGTCGAGCCCTAGAATGTTGGTGCCCTGCCTGCCGAATAGGAACAAATTTTACTGAGTGTCGAGTGCTGGCATACTCTTCCGGGGCCTTTGTAGACAAGGCATGATGCTAACTTGGATTGGGTGGTCAAGCAAGCTCCAGAAAGATCGCGGCACCCAGGTTTTCTGGCTTCAGCGTGCGTAGGACTTCTGGCAGCACGGACCACGGACTGCGTCCCAGATTTTTCATCGTGTGTAATAGCCCTTGCTGCTTTAGCTCCTTGCGGCCCCTGACAGGGCGCTTTTCACGCCCGAATCAATTGTTACCAGGGCGAGGGAGAAGCGTTAGCTCGGAAATGGTTGGGTGCTACCGGTGCAGCTACTGGAGTACCGCAGGACTGTTGCCTGCTTCGATCAGCTTCCAGCCGCACAGCACGCACCTCAAAAAAAAAATGTGCTCGCACAGTTGGCACGTCACGGCGTGCGACAGCTGCGCAAGCCAGCCTGAAGAGAAGACTTGCGAGTGGCTATTTCAAGCATGTAGGCCTCACAACTTCAGTTGGAGGCTCGCTAGGAGGCACATGAAAGCACGCTGAATATTCAACAAATTATTTCGAGGACCGCTCTTTCATTTTCTGATTGTGCTTGAACATCATGGAAGCCCTTGACCTGCTCCGCAGGACTGATCACATCATATTTGTTTAGCTCATCACCTCTTTGTTGCCCGAAGCATCTTATGAATTTGTCTGGGCCCTCGAAGTCATGGCAGCTCGCTTGCACAAGCTGCACCAAACTACGATAGCCATGCGCGGCCTGTCACTCTCATCCGCCCATGGGTTCGACACCTTACCAGCAATGATTACACTTTCCTCTGAACGTGTGCTTGCAAAACCTATGGTCCATCGCCACAGCCACTGCTTAGCGAGCGATTGCTAAAAGCAGACCACACCCCCCCGCCCCGATGATTCTGTGTACACGAACTTTCCACCGGCATCCCAAAAAGGACTTGTCCGCACCCCGAAATGCTGACCGCCACCCAACACGCACAACGCCATGCAAACACAACCCCAACCATAGCCATCAACCAAATCTACAACTCCAAATCCGAACAACCAATGCAATAACTGATCTCAACTACTCTATGTTGAGGGTTGGGGCCAGAGAACCTAGTAGAAAACGGAGTGTGAGCATTGAATGCCTGCCATTCCGGACCATTTGGGGTCGCGGGTTAGCAAGGGTTGGCTCACTCTTTTGCAACGCTGCTCGCTGCTGGCCTGATACAACAGACGCCTATGAGACGCGGCACAGGCCTCCTTTACGCTGGCATTTAGAAGGATGTGCAAGTCAGGCAACCCACATATCCTGTGATGACTGTGACCTTTCAGGCTCTTGAAGATGCCACGCAGACCGAAAGAAGTGGGGAGCGGTAAAGCAAGCCTCTTTTGCACCTTGCGCGGGAGTAGCTCACACAATCCATCGGGGAGTGGTTGCCATGTAGTGTCTGTACTCGGGGAACTTGGACCCCAAGTAGCGCTCCTCACTGGGGATCACCACGCAATGCAAATACCCGGCCATCGGGAAGGCTGCCAGCACGCCCCACCAAGAGTTCAGCAATGGGCCCAGAGCTAAGAGCGATCCCAACGTGCCGAGGTACATGGGATTCCGGGATACTGCATATGGCCCCTCGCCCACAACGCAAGGCACGGGCTTTCCACAACGAAGGGGAACTTGAGCAGCATCCATTCTGTCCACCGCTGCTCTACGCAGCAGCATGCTGCCAAAGGCCAGCGCGGCTCCGGCAACACGAAGTGGTAAGGCAGTAATTGGTGCCCCCAATAGCACCACGTTCCCCCTGCGTGTCATAGGAAGTCCGCCAGCAAACCTGAGCAGCGCAGGCACAGCACCACCGAGAAGGCACATTGTGTCGACCGTTGTTACCGCCAGTGGAAGTCTCGGGCAAGCCTCGTCCATCTGCTCCGCACAGGGGCGCTCCATAGCGTACAAATGCGTACAAGATTTCTCATGGCCTTCTCACAACACCAAGCCTTAGGCCCTGGAAGCTGCAGGCACGTAGCAGGCAAAGCAGACTGACTTGTGGTCTGAGGGCCTCGCCTTCACAAGGCTTTGCTGGGGCGCATCACAGGAGTGCATCCTAAGCTCCGGTTGACACATCTTGCCCGCCATGCTCAGTGGCATGGTCCTCCTAGGACTGAGTAGCCAGCCCTGAGAATCCGCGTCTGCCAGCATTTCTTTGAGGGCTCGAAATGCGCAGGACTCGGGCCCGCCCAGGTCATACACCAGCTCCTATGTCACGCTGCCAGTTTACAAGAGTGCTTGCCCAGATCCTACTTCAAGTGACACTTGCAAGACTTCTAATGCAAGTCACCTCTGGGATGGAGTCGGAGACTGTGACCTTGGAGGCCGTCCATGGAGAGATCAAGTTGCGAATCACCTGGCTCTGTTGGAGGCCTATGCTTCAAACATATTCAAACTCATGATCCCATAAGAAGATACAAGAGGCAAAAAGAAAAGGAGGTTTGTCCAAAGTAATGAAATCACCATTCCAGACAGGAGTGCCTTCCAGGCCATGGAAAACAAGGCAGAAGCATTCACGACGTACATATGCGACACAGCTTCCATGTAGAAGGCGCCCGGTTGCAAGCAGCACTTCAACCTTTCGCCAATATCTCTCGTGGTCAAGTGTCGAAGTCCGACCCCCTGCATGTCATAAACTTGGATATAGCCAATCAATCGCTTTCGCTCTTCGGTCTGGCGTGAAATCCACAAGTCTTGGTACTCGAAGACAGCGTGACTCCAGGCCATAATTTCACTTGCAGAGAGCTCAGCCATTGAGCTGGCATTCAAAGTTTGTGCATGCCACACTGACACTGGAGCACCGTTAGCGGCCATTAGCGCACAAGGGCGAACCTTCAGCAGTTTTTGGTAAACATCCTGTTCATTAGGGAAACATACCGGCCCTTGGTCTCTCATCATTGCCGCCTGCTGCTCCCTGACTTCGTCCAGTCTGTTCGCATCACGCCATGCAGAAATCTCTCGCCACTTGGACACCGCTGCCACTTGGTCGTAGCCCATGCCAAGCATCAGGCGAAGTGCTTGCTGCTTACTCAAAGGTGATATGTGCGAGCATGTCCCCTGAATTTCTGCTACCAAGGCATCCAAGTCGTGGCCCTCCCACCCAGGCGGCAGTTGCTTTCTCTCCAAGAAATAGCCCGCGACGTAATGCGTTCCTGGAGAAACTGGCTCTATCTCCGCGTCCAAGTTAGCAGAGCTCATGTCCGTCTCGATCTCAGGTGCAGTCTTCTCCGCACCTGTGCACCTAAGATTGTGGCCCAGGGCAGACCTATTCAACCGTCCCCTGCGTAAAGGCGTGTAGTGGTGCAAGCGACACACATGGAACCCTGTCTGGAAAGTCTTCCTCTAGTGACTCTAGTGTTAGAAGCTCACAAATTCTGTGCCTTCCAGAGCCCAGCCGCCCAGACTGCAGCGAGCCAACTTCTACAGCCACAGAGCAGTTCAGAGGAGACATTGGTGATGTTGGCTCTGTGGCCTGCATTGCTGCATGCTAATTCCAGCTCCGTTTAACTGTCAAAGGATGCTTTTGAATTTTGGATTGTTTGGGGGGGCTGTCAAGACGATCTGCTAAACCTGATGGGCAGGCAAAATACAGTAGCACCTGCCGCGGAGGCCGCAGAACTGTGAGGCTTGCGGCCTCTTCCGGACTCCTGACGGGGCTGCATGGAGCACTGCGCAAAATGCGGAATGTGAACTCTGAATATCTGACCTCGCCATCAGATTCTGAAAATGGATCGCCACCGGCGATGTGGGACCACCTGAAACGTTGCAACTGACGGAAGACAAGGTGCATCCACGCATACCCCAAATGCCCGCTCTCAACATGCGTTCACCTGCGAGCCTAATGTGTGAATGAGATCTTCTGGAATTCCGCTCGAAACGGAAATCTTCGAGGCAGTCCAAGGCGAAACCAAGTTCCGCACCACCTGCCAGATCGTGCTTTCAAAGCGCGGTGATTCTAGCAGGACCTGCCTGTGGCACGTGTCCTACTGCCAGCTGAATGCCTTCAAGCTCTGGCTAGGATCGAAGCCGGCTGCTCCCGTTGTAACGGGGACGGTGTACGGGTTGCTAGCAAAACCATTTCACAACTCCTGCTTAGTCATACACACCTCTCAGGTCCACGCACAGGTGTTGGGGAGACCTTCGTTGCATGTTAGACAATCCTTCGGGGTTGTTTTGCCCACATCTCAACACACCCGCCCCATGACAGGCCGATATCCTCTCCGTCAGGGCCACGGGTCAACACGCCATAAAGTAAAGAAGGTGCCCCACTCCTGTTTGCAGATGCCTGCGCTGCATGAGCGTGAGGTCTTGTAAACCCCGGATACCAGTGGCATTCACAGGCTGGTTTTGACTTTTTCAGATCAAATAACCTGAATTCCGGAACATGTTTTCTGGGCACGGCCTTCCACACCATAGAAAATAGTCTGGAGGCGTTGATGACGTACATGTGGCTGACTGCCTGGCACCAGGCAAATCTGCACAACCATGATCAGTTACCATCATGAAGGCTTCGCTTGTTCTCCACACAATCGAAGGTCCCTAGCCTAGAAGTTAGGTAGAACAAAAGCTTTCCAACACAAGTTGATGTGTTGATGTGAATCCATTGACAGCTTTCCGTCAGAGTTTTGCCCTGCCAGCTATCTGAGGCATGCACCTCAACATAGAAGCTTCCGGACTGCAAGGCAGTCTTCAGTTTATCTGCAATCTCCCTGGAGGAGTAATGTCGCCAACTCATGCCTTGCATGTCATACACCTGGACATAGCCCAGCAGTCTCTTATGCCTCTCGCTATGAGCAGTGATCCACAGGTCTTTGTATTCGAAGACTGCGCGACTCCACTGCGCCACCTGAGGAGGAGCCTACCGTAGCTACGGCAGGTAGCATGTACCAGCTGCCATTCAAAGGGAATCAGTATAGGCATGACTTCCTGTATGGCTATATCAACCTCCAAACCGCATGTCTAAGGGAACGAGGGGAGCAGTTGTCCTGCAGGAACCCTGACTATCAAATCAAAGGATCGAAATGGCTAGATGCCTAATTATATAAAAAGCAACGGTTCCTACATGTTGGATCTGTCACCGGAGAACCGGGATTTGCAGCAAAGCAACATGTTCGGATGGCAAAGAAGCTGCTTCATTTACGTTCAGCGTTCCAGCATGCCAAATTGACACAGGCGTGCCATTCGCAGCCAAAAGCGCGCAGGGGCTGACACGGACAAGCTTGGCAGACACTTCTTCCTGATATGGGAATGTCACCTGGCTTCTGCTGCGCATCTTTTCTGCCTGATCCTTCCTGACCTGGTCCATGGAGTTGGCCCTGCGCCACTCCACAACCTCCTGCCATTTCATGAGCGCTGCATGCGGATTGTAGCCCATCCCAAGGACAAGCCTTAATGCTTGCTGCTTGGAGAGAGAAGCAACCTTCGAGCATGACTTGTGTACATCCTCAACTAGCTCGTCCAGATCTCTATCCTCCAAGCCAGGCGGAAGCTGGTCTGGCCGCAAAAAGAACCCAGCGACGTGCAAAGCCCCTGGAATATCTGGAATTGGTTCCAGGGCCTCCTCACTGGAATGCAGGATGGCTTCAGCAGTGGGCTCAAAGGAACATCTCGTGCTCGCAGGCATGGAGTTAGACCCTGCAGTGCTAGCACTTTCCTCAGATACCCTTCTCGGGGAAGTCTGCTTAGGCAGCTGTGGCCGGCGCACGGGTGCCAAGCAAGGATTCAGACTAGCCGACTGACTCGCTGCTGCCAGCAGTCTCCGCAGGTCCTCTGCCTGCTGCGAGGTGGGCCCTCCTAAATCAGCCTCAGCAGTCAGAAGCGCGGGAGGGTTCAGGCCACATGCCTATCAATCCCTCTTCACATGACATGTCCACCGAAGTGAAAAGCTTCCTCAAACCGCCACGTCGCAATCAGTTCGTCTGGGACTGTGCTGGAAACTGTGATTTTTGAAGCCGTCCAAGGTGAAAGGAATCCTCGCACGAGCTTCCAAGCCTTGGCTACCATATCAGAGAGGAGCGGAACCAAATTCCAGCCTGTCCCTTCCGGCTTCCCTGTCTCAAAACCATTCCAGGAACAAACATTTAACAGTTTTCCAGTGGTTGACCTAGAGACCATTGAGAAAAGGCGCGAAGCATTCACCACATAGATGTGCGCTATTGCCTCAACATAGAAGCCGCCAGCAGACAAAGCTGCCTTCAGCCTGTCTTTCACCTCCATGGAGGTCACTTGTCGAAGGCTGAGGCCTTGCATGTTGTAGACCTGAATATACCCAGTCAGGCAACTGGTCCTCTCTGTATCCTTGGTGATCCACAGATCAGCATACTCAAAAACTTCCTGACTCCACGTCCGGCAGTACTCCAGAGGCAGAGTGCCTACATTGGATGTGTCGGCGGCGCCAGCGTGCCACACCGACACAGGGCGGCCGTCTGCACACAACAGGGCACATGGGCAACCACGAAACAGCTTGCTGTACACGTCTGCTTCGTGAGAAAAACGTACCGGGTCTTGGCCGCACATTACACCATTCAGACGTGCCCGAAGAGCATCCATTTGATGTTCTCTCCTCCAAGATACCACTTGTTGCCATTTGACAAGAGCAGCTTCTGGGTCATAGCCCATGCCAATGACGAGACGCAAAGCTTGCTGTCTGGTTATTGGTCCGACTTTCGAGCACGATTGCTCGACTTCCATCACCAGCTCGTCTAAGTTCCTATTGCCCCGTCCGGGAGGAAGCTGCCAGTCACTCCTTATGTCTACTTCATTGTGGGCGATCAAGTCCACTAGATGCTGGGGCCGGGGGAGAGGGGTGCAGAAATGAGTGGCCTAATAGCAATACTAGGAATGCTTTCAGGATACCCTGACCACCCGCCACGACAGATTGTCACAAGGTCCAAGGCGCTGCCATAAGGAAACCGTCTTCGCTGCGCGTGTAGGACATTCCAAGGAAAGTCTACTCATGTCTACTTCTTTCTTGGCATCCCGCCCCATAGAAGAAAATACGGGCCTCAATCCTGGGAAAGCAGGCGGCGCGCAAAGCCACACACACCCCTAACCCTGTTGATAGCTCCCATGTTGAAGCCACTTCCAGCCAGGGGTCAAGTAGAATCCCGAAACCAGTGTTTTTCCAGAGGTGGAACTCTGCCCAGGCGTTTGGACAGCTTCAGCAGGTTCCTGCATCTCACAGGGCGGGTTCATGGCCGGTGGACTGGCTTGCCAGTCATCGTCCGCGCCGCCTGCGTGGTGGGGGGACTCGCAGGCGCCGACGCCATTGAAAACTTGCCATGTTGGCTAATCGAACTTACACCGTCCCTTACCCCAGGTTGCAACCTTACACCAGGTGCATGCCTGAGTGACCATGTTCATCTTGGCTCGGCACCGGAAGCGTGAGTAACGGTTGTGACCTCGCGCGGCTTCCCGCTCCCGATCAAAACGAATTTGGTTTCAATTCAAAGCAGCTTATGGAACTCGCGTGACATTTGCTCATTCTTTTTTCACATATCTTTGAATGCAAGCTGCTCCATCTGGCTGATGAGCTAGGAGTACCCTCCGCCATGCTATCCGGCAAGCTTAGTCATGACCAGCACATGAGGGCATATGCTGCTTAAGGGAGCCTCTGCCAGAACGAACATCTCAACAAACACCAGCACCACTTGCCAACCTGATTGACATGGTCATGCTGACTGATTGGGAGATCAACTCCGAGATCAACTCGCTGTGGGGTCTACAGCCGGGTGCCAGGCACTTTTGCAGGCCACCTTCTGGCAGCACCCATGCGTCATGAAGTTGCATTCGATTCCGGACTTACATTCAGGGCCTCGCCCCGGGCTTTTACAGATTCAAATATATTCAAATTGCTTAATGGTTCTTAGTGGGGAATATGGGAATAAATTCCCTATCCCTATACAATACATTCCTTTTTCCCACTAAGAAGCAGTAAGATTACAGACCCCGCCTTCACAGCGCCCAGCATAATCAAGCAAACCGTCGCCGGAACACTCTGCGACCTCAAGCAGCACCTTGAGCGAGCCCTCAGCGCCAGAGTCGGCATCTGGTAGTTTCTATGAATAGACGGACCCCACCATAGTCCCAAAATACTGTAGTCCTTATTGTAGGGACCCGAAGGGGTAGCCCTAATTTTGGGCAACCCCCATCTGTCTGCGTATCTACCCAGCTCTTAGACAAATGACCAAATGCCACTAAGCTTCTCATCAGCTTCGCCGGCCCCAACTTCTTGACAAATGCTCGGGCCTGCCAAGCTGGGAGAGTGACGGAGAGACCTTACATGAGCCATTGTCTAAACTCCTAGTATCCCCCTGACTAACCCCTGTAATACTCCATCCCCTACATAATAAGCCCCTTCAAGGAGTGTCGACCCTACACCCTAAACCTACATAGCCCATTATAGTAGTTTCTATTTCTTTTCCATTTTAGCCCTTAAATAACTCCCCTTTAAAGAGTTTGGCGTTACAGTTCAGCATGAACTGCCTGGCACCGCGAGGCTGTCAGCAGCAACTGCCTCAGCCATGCAGGAAATTCGACGCCCGCAGGGCTTCCGTGAAAAGACCCAAAGCCTGAATTCTCATCAGTGACTAATAATATACTATAATCTACTACAACATACTACTATAATATACTGCTATAATTTTCTACTATAATTTTCTATGATTTTCCGATTTGCTGGCGGAAGGAACCTCATCTCGTCTTGCTGCGCCCTCCATCAACCTGAACATCCGCAGGAGAAGATGCGGAGAATTCTACTGCAATTGCCCTGCCTGCTCTGCCTGCTGAGTAATGTCGAGGGCTTCCAGAAGCCCAATCGAAAAATCTCATACAAAGTAAGCAGAGCTAGTCAAGTTGGGTATGGTTGGCCCCCTTCAAGGATGGCTGAGCCCTTTAGATCAGGAATTGGAATTGGGCACATGAGAAATCTGACCCAACTTGCGCCACCTAAATCTATATAGCACATGTAAGCAGAAGCTAAAGGTCGAGGAGGGAGCAAAAAAAGCACCGACCGAGCCGATAGTGCGCCAACATTGCAGGATTTGGGTCAATCAAGCTCTAGACTCCAGCGAGTTGTGGCACTGACCTTTATGAGGCTGAGCCTTTTTCTTCTCATACCTCTCGCACTGCTGGCAGAAGTCTTAGCTGAGTTTCTTTGTTCGCTCCACACATTGCGTATGTCTCAGATTTCATAGCTGAGGGGGAGCTTGAGGCTAGCATACTTGAAATATCTTGACGTAAGTCTGCAGGGACCACCAGCAGAAGCTGCTGCCGTTCATGCTGCGGGCATGAGCTCAGTGAAAGTCACGGCCCATAGTTGCGGACCTTGCGCGAGGATTGTAAAGCTATAGGGCAGGCCCAAATGCATCCACGATTTGGCCAATGTAGTCTGCACAGCCCGAGCGCCAAGCTCCTCAGTAGTAAGGAGGCGCCGCGGGGCCTCACCAATATGTTTGTTTTCTTCCTCCTTTCTGCACTTTGAAGCACTGCAAGAATGCGTACAGCCACCTTGCATCTCCAGTGTCCCTGCCTGCAACTTCATCTGTTCTCGCACGTTCAGCTCCTGGATGTTCACAACATAGCCGAACCTCGTGCACTAATCTAAAACCACGTCATCACATCTGTTGAATCTGGGCAGTGCTGGCACTGAATCACATCTGAACCACGCTTCCGACTACCGCTAGACTTCCAGATGTTGCCCTCAGCTCGATTGCTCCGTGGGCTGACTGATCGGACTTCCTGTGGCTAAGAGTGCGTTTTGGAGCACAGCCGCCAAGGCTGCAACGATCGCGTCAGAACTATGCAGTCAACGCTCACGCAAGTTCTTCCCTGTGAATCAGTTCAGCCGTGCTGCGTGCCTTCACGAAGCACGCTGCGGCAGACAGTGCAGATGCCCATAGAGAGTGTCAAGTCACACGGACGTTGCTTCGGTGTCTCCAACTCATAGCTCTCACTGCCATGGACGGGTTTGGTCCTAGTACTCGTTTGCGGGTTGTTCTACATTATAGCATCAGTTGTCACTAAGCGGATGTCCATACGTCTCCTCAAACGGAATGCAACATCTTGTGTTTGGATACGTCAGCTGTACCGTATACCGTCCGCAAAAAACATGTCAAGAATGGATCAAGGTCCCGGCTCCTGGTCGTTGCCCGGATCTTGTAGTAGGAGCTCATCTCCATGGGATACGAGGACCTCCAAACCGCACAGGGCCTACCCCTCCTTGCAACATCTAGGCGGTGCTTGCAGGAAGTTTTTTTGCACAGGCAGGGAAGCTGTTTTTCCACTTGGCCTTCCCTGTGGTCTTTGGCGGCAGCCGCAGGCCATTCAAGAAGGTACCGTTCGTGCTGCAGTCTATGACCTGCAGCAGGCAAAGATCTAGTGTTGCAACACGTTGACAAGACTCGTAGGGAGTCTGGACGCATCTCGCACTTGCTCCTGGTTGCGGGGTCCCATTGTCACCTGCTCTCATGATTCTTTCTTCGGAACGATGACTGCTTCCAGGTGCCGCGTTCCCTTGGGGATGCGAAACCATTTTCGGTCGATCAGAACAGAAGAGCAGATAGCTTCTGGCCCCTCGGTAACATTAAGAACGCAGAACATGCGCGTGATACAAGCCTCTAGTTGGGAAACAGCGCGGGTTTGTTCCACCCGCTCCTACCCTTGTCTGGAGCAGCATGAACCTGAACTGGCCTTCACTTGGGGTCTCACAAAGTTTAGCTGCAAATTTGGTCCTACAGCTCCTGGACAGGCTTGCCTCTTGCAAGCTTGGGCTAAGCCACTGACTCTGATCTGCTTTGAGCCCCTGGTGTCGTGGCGCAGACGGCCGCGAATGAATCAAATGAATCCTGGATTCACGTCCAGTCAGCCATCATCCCAGCACAAGATCCTTTCCTTAGTTATCGTTGTAAAGCAGCTACTAACAGGGTCTTGTGCGTGCAAGTGCATGGCTTTCACGTGACTTGACAGTGTTTCACTGCGCCCCGCCTGTCGTCGCAAGGACGTGTGAGCCGTCATGGGCGCTGCAGTCTGGGAGTAGTTTGGTGTCCTGTGTCTGGGGTTGTGACACAGTTGCGCGCGCAGCACTACCTATGCACTAGCTGATCTCTACCCGGGAAGCTCGCCTCCTGGCTTGTGGGCCCCGAGAACTGCAGGGAGCCCGTGCGACAAGGCACCCTTCGGTTTGATCATGGCTGGGCCTCAAACTGCGGGATGTTCGAGATGTTCGGCTACCCTGTTTTGACGGCTGTGAGCGAGGCCGCAGCTTCTGCATTGCTGGTCGGGAGGCTTTCGTTGCCGCCGGGAAATGGACTTCCTCCTGGGCATAGTCAATGACTCCGCCTGCATTCCCTTCAAGATCTTCTGAACATCCAATGGGGTTCATGGGCGAGGGCAGCGCTGCAGCTGCAGCTGCCGGCCAGGTTGGCCACAGTGGTCTGAGCACTGTGTCCTCCTCAACTGGCGGCACCCCATCTAGTGAGAATGGTGCCAAGTCACCTCGAGGTGCCCAAACTCCTGAAGAAGAGGGTCGATTTGCTGACAAGTTCTGCGGCCAGAAGGCGCTCTTGTGAGAGGATGCCACGCAGCCAGAAGTTGCAGGCCGTGCGTCAGATGCCGCCTGCAAGAAGCTGCCTTGGAAGGGCATCCTTTGTGCACCCGAGCTAAAAGCGCGCACGGGCCACTCGACAGGGACAGGCGTGCAGGGCTGTCCGGTACATCGCAGTGCTCGAGGGTTTGCGCGCTCGGCGCGCTCGGCCGGAGAGCAAGTTGAGCCACGATGCAATCGGCCCGCGTGAGTACGGCTGTGGGCCTCGGACTCCCGACTCTTTTGGGCCACAACCAATCGGATGCGCGTCAAAAGCGCCTCATCAGCAGCTACATCCTCTACATGCAGGGGGTGCCTGCACATTGGACAGGACACATCAGGCTGATCATAACCCAGCTGTGCGAGGACAGACTTCAACAAGCAGCCTTCGCAGAAGGCATGGCCACACACAGTCCGAACAGGCTGCCAGAACGGCTCCCAACATATGGGGCAGGTGAACTCAGCCATCGCAGGATCTTCTGCATGTTGTCGCAGCTTCTTCAAGGTCTCTTCAGGTGCTTCGAGTCGGCAGATGCTGAGAGCAGGCAAGTTAGCTGCTGCCCCGTATTGGGGCCGGCTGCATGCCCCTCTTCGGCGAAGCGAAGTGAACATTCCCCCGCCTTCCACATTCTACACCATGAGCTGGATAATGAATGGCCGCAGCAGTTTAAACGCAATCTGCAATACTGACGAGGTGCCTATCACTATCAGCGACTATCACTTCCTAAAGCAACTCCACCATCTCGCAACATCTCTCGACAACCCGGATCCGATCCGAGCTCTGCACGTAGATTGCACCACGATCGATGTCCAGCTCCAGGACGCAGTGCTGCATCAACCGGGGTTTAAGTTAACCCAGCCATCCATTGCAAAGTCGAAACATCATGGCTAGTTTGCGAGATTTGCTTAAGTATCCTACTAGTCCCCCAGCCTGCCGAGAGACAATGGCAGCGGGAATCACGATGTCATTTGCCTTGTCCTTGCCTCGTGCCACCAACACGAAGGAGTCTTCCCATGCTGACTCTCTCCATCAACTTTGGCCCGCACCAATTGAAATGACAGGCCTCACTGCAGTTGGTGCGTTGCATGGTCATGGGAAACAGATTGCAAGCCGTTCCCGGGCTGCTTCTCTGCAGGATGTGTCAGCTTTGAGGGAGGCGCTGTGTCTGGCTCAATGTCTTCTGCCCCGAAGGCAGGGTGTTCATCGGCGACAGCCGCAGAACAGCTGATTCTATGATCCTTGCAGACGCTTGGGGCTTCAATATGCTTGAGCAATCTTCAGCATTTACAGCGCTGCTTTCTTTAGGTCGCTCAATCTGAGTGTTCTAAGGTCTCCGCTTCGGTTTCAGCAATCGGCGGACCTTGGCTTCGCTGCGGCCCCAGTTACCTCAGCAGCTTCAGTAGAACTTCCAGAATCAGGCAGCACGCTGAGGTCAACACAGTGCATCAGCACACGCTGGAGTAGCCTTTGGGCCTCAGAAACAACACCTTGAGCCCCATCATCTATGCCCTTGGATGACATTGGCTCCAAGGCCTTTCGGATCTGTTCCGCCGAGCCTCTCAGCTGAACCTGGCAAATAGAATCAACAAGCGGTGCTAGAGCCGCGCCAGCACAGGCATCAAGCACATGATCTTTTTCAAGCTTGTGCGCTAGTCCACAATGTCCCAAACCTCTTGCCACAACCCTTGTGTCTTAGCAGATAGGAGAAAGCTGGATTTCACTGGCTGAATGCCCTTCTTCCACAAAGTCCAGCAAGCCGCGCAATACCAGTTCTGCGCAAAAGCTGTTCCCGGGGTGCCAAGCTGACCCACAGCATCAACTTTGCTGCAACCGCGGCAGCGAGCAGCAGACCGCTCCTCGGTGCAGCGCATGCAGAAGAAGCGGTGGGCCCGTACGCTATCAGGCTCGCCAGGCTTTCCAGTGGCTGTAGCGCTGCAATGAAAGCACTTTGAAGTGTACCTGGGCAGAGCTGTAGTCCTCTCTGCAATTCATCAGGGTACAAGTTCTTCTATGAAAACAAACAGGAATTGAAACAGCTGACTATTGCTCAGCCCCCATACTCCAAGAGATGGAGAATGTTCCACGGCAAGCCAATTCCGAGGCGGAAGTCCTTGCCTCCAGGTAAGAAAGGCCCCATCATTGCCAGCAAAGACTGCCAGGCAAAGGCTGCTGCTGCCACGGAGTACTTCACCAAGCGGTCGTGCGGCATATGCCATTCCACAAAGTTGCATACAGTAGGGATGAAAAATCGCTGGACTACCATCTGTCGCCGGGAATCCAGCTGGCTGATTCGCCCCAGGAGACGCTTGATAACAAAAATCGTTAATTGCGGATGGAAAACCATGTTGAGGTAGAACAGGACCTGGTTGGTAGCAAAATAGAAATTCAAAGGCTCGCGCTCGATAGCAGCTTCGAACAACTCGACGGCCTTTGTCTCCTCCGTCTTGTGAATCTCGCAAGCAGCGTGGTACAGTGCAAAAGCGCTGGTGGGGTGTTGTTGCTGACATTTGAGGATGTCAACTTCTGCCATGCTGAACTGGGACCCAATGCCAAGAGTGGGTTCTTCGTCATATGTGGCATGCCACCAGAGAGCTGGGACAAAGACACAGTCCCCAGGCTTCTGGACTATCTCAAGCGGTCGCTGCTCAGGTGGCAACTTTGCTACCACATCTGGCAGGTCTGCAGCTGGGCACAGGGCAACAGCATCGTAGGCTTCAGCTGTTGGAGGCCCACAAGGTGGGTAGAGCCACCATCTCTTCCGGCCTCAATGGCTTCTGCTTGCTCAAACTACAAGCAGCTTTGTTATTATCTTAATAGGCCAGTCTCTCGTAACTGGAGGTTAAAGACTTCGTCGGGGGCCTTGCTGCAGAGCGAGCCAGGCAGTGCCATGCTTGTGGAAGGCCACGCCATTGCCGCCAGGGCCGGTGGAAATCACCACCATGGAGCAGCGCATCCACTCAGGGATGGATTGCCAGCAATCCCAGGGAACACTACCAGGAGACAGATTTCCGGCGACTAGCTGTGTGAAGCAATTCCCCCTCGCTGAAGCTTCTTGGAACGATCGATCGTCACCAAGCATGGACGGCCCAAACTGTGCAGCAAGAGGGTCGCTGAGAACAGTTGCCGTCTGGAATTTTGCCGTGGCTTCTGCCTCTCAGGGCATGCTCCTACGTCACATCATGTCCTACAGACCTGAGGTAGCGCAGCAGCTGTAAGCCTTCGATAGCAGAGCATCGCGGGAATTGTACGAAGGGTGAAGATCCAGAGGTTGATCGAAAATCAGCGGCTGTGCCATCCCTTGCCAGCCGCCTGCCTGGCAAGCGCGTTCCATATGCTACAGTATGGGGTCAATCCGCGCTCCTGAAACGGGAAACCCGTGCTTGTCCCCAAATCTGCGGGAAGCTGAAGCCACCGTGCTTTGTTGCCCCCAGCAGTCGCTTGAAAACTTATCGAAGCTACTATTAGAAGGGTTGACTTACATGAACATCGCAAAACGACATCCTTTTGCAGCAAAAACAGCATCAAATCCTTTCCGAAATTTGCCGTCCGACCCTGTAGGAGTGCACAGTTTCCCGCCGGCTGCTGGCCTCCAACTGCATGCGCAACTCTTGCAGCTCCACTCTGCGCACCGTCGTCCTGCCCGGCGTCTTTATGACAGCTGCATGTGCTCCGCCAGCAGGTTTGAACTCACCTTTATGGAGGTACAGCATCACTTCGTGCAAAAGCCTGCGTCAAGGCAAATCAGCAAAGCAACTGTCAGGGTTGGGCTGTCCTGGCTGTAGATCTACCGGGTGGGTGGTACGTATCCAGTCCGTAAGAAGGAACACTCTAACGCATGATGGAGACATCAAAAGGCAAAGCTTTAGCCCAAGCTTTTAGTGCTGGAGCTCGCCGAAGTTCCGTCCTTCCCTTTGAGGCCGCCCACCCTCAACCCTAATTTGGCACCACACCCTGGTACTTTGGGCTTTGTGACTGTGCGTTCCATGTCAACTTTCCGCATGCAAAGTACATTCGGAGAACATGTTCTTTGGCTGCTTGAAAGGTTATCGCCGAGCCCTTGTGTAATGTCTGCGCTGAACCTCTGACTGTGGTCTGAATGATAGCCTTGGACAACTCATGTAGAGAGCAAATGTCAAAGCTGACGCTGTAGACATGTGGGTGGTTGTCAAATTATGGGCCCTTTTTGGATCCCTTTTATAATACGGCACCTACTATTTAGGGTACCCAAAAAAAGGGCCATAATTTTGACAACCGCCCATGTCTACAGAAAAATGGCACCTCAACCGAGCCAAGTCTTTCTGCAGCTTGTGCCGTGTCTCCTGCAGACTTTCTGCACTTGGCTGTCCAGGTTCTTCGATGTTGTACTGGAGCCTCCTCTCCTGAAACTCCTGGGCCACTGCACGGCAGAGTCTCAAGAAGATGTTGCAAAGAAGAGGCCCCATCATTCAGGCAGCAAAACAAGCCGACTTACGTTCCGTCCTGCCTTATGAATTTGGAAGCCGGAAGTGTCCAAGGTCTCCATCAGAAATTCCCCACCAGAAACTGCTCAAGCGAGATAGGAATGGTCGGCCGACGAGCCATGGAACGCTACAAGATGTCAACAAGTTTTCCAGAATTTTGAAAGTTGAGAGGGCGTCTTATTCACACAGCTTCAGAACAAAGCATTAGGGTGGGGGTTGGGAATTCTCTGGCAAGTGCATTGCTGGCAGCGCGCCAGCGTCCACGCAACACCCGGGTGATCTGGTATGCAACACTTCCTCACCTATCCAAAGGAAGGATGCTTTGCGATGTAATTGTTGTCGTGAGGTCAAACGTCTGGATGCAAGTCACGGCAACCCCTGATTTTCAGAAATGCCCACTTTACTTTGGCAACCGAGATGCAGGATAGCCACCAAAGCCGACTGCACTTTGCATCCAGCGGCCCTGCCCAGTCGGCGCGGCCATGGCAAGCGGTTTAGAAACAGTCATTGATTCATGAGTTCCGCGAGGCTCACTCGTGCATCATGCTGAGGTCTTTTGCAGATCCCTGTGCGAATGGAGCCAGCCATCCCTCTTCCTTGTTCTTCAAGGGGATCTTGGTGCTTCGTTTCTCTGCCAAACTGAGCCTATAGGCTTGCACTTATCAAAAACATCGAGGGAACAGAAGTGAGGCAAGTATAGGGCAGAGAGGGCGTATGGAGCAAAGCAGCGACCTTATGCTGGCCATGCACCGCGGGGGTGCTCGGTGAAACATTTTCTGGGAGCTGGACAAATCCTTGTAATCTGCCAACAGCAGCCAACAGAACTATGGAATTCTACACGAGGGCCGAGCCGACAAGTCAGTCAACCTTGACGTTCCTTTCTCGCCACTGGTTTGCCAATCGCCGGACGGTCTGGTTGCTCACCAATCTGGTGTGGCTGAGGATTCCGTGGCCCATGGGAGAGAGCACTCCTGTCCCTTGTCGAGGCCTTACTTCAGGCGATTTCTCGAGAATCCACTTTTCGATCCACCCGCGCCTCGCAATCTCACGACCGCAAGTTCCCATCTGCAACACGTATCCAGGCACACTTCCTAGCATCGCATCATTACAAAACGCTGTAGTACCCAATGCTGCTCCGGCACTCGTAAGTCTCACCATCTGCTGCCACCACGGGATCGGTAAACAGTTCAAGTGACATCGGGCAACACAAGTCGCGAGGAGGGCCCAGTACCGCGTCACCTCGATACCATGTGATGGTGAGCCAGGCCAGCAGGACCAGGAGCACCAGCACACTGCACCAGATTGCTACGTCCTCCAACCACTCGAAACCTAGACTGGCTCAGCTCGAAACGGCACAAGCTACAGTTGCTAGAGAAAACATCGCTTGGCAAACGAGCGGCTGTCACCCAGGTCTTCCAGGTGCCTCGCGGCCTCTGCGTGCAGCTCTGCTTGAGGCTCGCGGAAGCCTTGAACTTCAAAGTGGTCCTGCTTGGAAGGGCTTCATTGACAGCTTCAGCAACCTGATTCGTTAAGGTTGCAACCCAACCAAAACCAAAGAGGCAAGCTGCTTGATGCAGAGAGGCCCCTTTACTGGAAATCCCTGCTTAAGCTATGCAAGTCCACCGACTTGCAGGCTTTGGGATTACAGACCGCAACAGTCCTTCAGCACGTTGGATAGCATGGTGTAAATCGAGTGCTGGCGGAAAAGGACTGTCCACCAGATCTCGGACTCTATGACGACATCGGAAGCTTGCGACTTCCAGGCCGAGTCCTCCCCTTCTCCCTGTCCCTGAAGGGGCCCCGTCACAGCCGTAGTCACCGGATCCTCAACTCACTGCAAATGTTTTGAAACATCCGGGTGGTCAGATGACATCTGCCATGCTTTGAAATGTTGAACTTTCAGATAGATTGGATGCCAGGCATCCCTGAGATAAAAGAGCCTCCGGGGAAGCTTCGGACGCGATTTCCTGATGGCCAGCGCTCGAGACAGCCTGTGGCATCGGGCGAGAAGGTGAACAACATTGAATCTGACAACGTGAAAATGGTTAGTTGCGAGACCTAGATGAAGAAAAGTCCAGCAGGACAAAAGCGGCGGCATGTGCAAGACAAACAGAGGCAGAAGAACATGACCCGATACCTGAAACGTGACACGTGCTCATGGCATTGTGCCAGTGTTATTGTCATTGTTACACTGGCAGGCGGCACTGTACTCCGGAAACAGCACTAGCAGCTAGCAGCAGTAAAGACAAAGCCCTCACCAGTATAGACACCTCTCGTGCTGGCAGCAGCTCCGAAAGAGGCTGATGCTTCAGCAGACCTTTGCAAACAAGCATCGAGAGGTCATCATCTTGAGCTTGTCGCTGCACCCCCATGTCTGCATGGCATCGCCTTGGTTGGAGACCGGGCCGATAGGGAAGGGGTGGGGGGGGTTCTTGTTTGGCTTAAACAAGAACCCCCCCCCCTCGCTAAGGTGGGCCGGT